GAGGGGAGCAGGAGGGGGGGTTCGCGGGGCTGCGGTGCCTGGTGGTGGAGGACAACGCGGTGAATCGCATGGTGGTGGTGCGGCTGCTTAGGAGCCTCAAGGTGGCGTGCGATGTGGCTGAGGACGGTAGCAAGGCTGTGCAGGCGTGTGCGCGGTGCTGCTACGACATCATATTCATGGTGCGTGACTTGCTGCATCCCAGTCATTATGTGGTATGTCTCCCTCCCCCGTTTAATTTCCAAGGGAAATTTAGGCAGCAGTTTTTCTCAGCAGCTCAATTTTGTTGCCACCTCCCCCTCAACCTCCATTGTTGCTGGCAGGACTGCCACATGCCGGTCATGGACGGGTTTGAAGCCACGGAAAGGATACGCCAGCTGCAAACAGAAGCCGAAGGTGGTGGTAACGATGATGGGGGGAGGCCATTCTTTGATGCTGGGGATGTGAAGCAACAGCAGCAGCACCAGGAGGAGGAAGGAGAGCGGGAAGCAGTGAGGTGGCTGAACGGGGAATCAGAAATGTGTTCGAAAGGAAGGCAGGAGTTGAAGCAGGAGAAGCCACAGCATCGGAGGAGGAGATCGGTCATATATGCGTTGACAGCAAGCGTGTTGAAGCACGAGAGGGACAAGTGTGTGAGTGTAGGGATGGATGGCTTCCTCGCCAAGCCGATAAGGCTCAAAGACCTCCAGCAGGTTCTCGGTCAGTTGATGCTTGATATCAAAGAGAGAAAAGCTGAAGGAACTGGCTCGCTGTGTGTGAATACAGGCCCTAAATGATGTCTGGAACCTTGTTTTGCTAACTGAATATTAACAATTTTGTAGTGTAAACGAGCGGGCACACCCGTGGCGAGGCGAGCTGGTACTGTATCGGCACAGTTCTATTGCATCGCAAGAGTGGGTGCTACTGTGGTTCATGTTACAAGGGGGCACGCGCACACGTCAGTCGTCTTCAACCCTAAGGACGCGGTAAAGTAGACGATCGATCGTCAGTCGCGATCGATGTGCAGATTGGTTACTCTATTTACTACGTTGCAACCATGCTACAATACGTTTTTTTGCCAAAATTTCTCTACAGTGTGCGAATGCGACTGATCACTGATCGCTGGAGATCTGTCAATTTTGAAGGGGCGATCGTTACGACGTCGCGGTCGCCACGTTTCGCCAATCGATCTGCTCACTCGATTGTGGGGCACGATATTTGCAGACGATCCTGCGATATTTGCACTTGCACCGCGTCCTAATCCAGTGGTCGAAATGTTGCTGGTTTGTTAGTCAGGTACGTGTACGTGTACACGTACAACTGGTGTGTAACGGATTTATTGGATTGTGCAAATCTAAACAATATTTTTGTCAGGAAGATTGCATCACTACTGTCCACATTTCTGTGGTTTCGGCTTCCACTGCTCGCGCGTGGCCAGCCATTTCACAGCATTTCTTGTGTCGGTGGTTCTTGTCCTTGTCTTTTGCCTCCCGGAATTCCCATCGTTGCCAGCACTTCTTCGACCACCTCAGCGCCTCCACCGTTGCTGGATTTTCTTCATGTTTTCCACGAACTGTGGTGTACAAACCTTCAAAACTGCACTCACGGTTGCACAATGCACACAACTGCACTTTCTCATGCCGGGGTTGAACACAGAGATGAGAAAAAAGATTGGGAAGAGGTCAATTGGTCAATTGGTCTACGATCCGATCCCAACAGCTGGACTTGCGTGGCTCACAGAATCCACGCACACTGCCACATCTGGGAAATTGCTCTACGGCAAGGATCAGTCTTTCCCCGCCACTGTTACGTCCCTGAGGCTACGAAGGATACCCTTGTCTTCACGAACATAATCGTAAACATCACTTCTAGGTTGCCATGATGAGATTTGCAGCGCTGTAACCTCTCTTCTGCCTTGTGCTTGCTTTCTGTGAAAAAAACCCGATGCTGTATGAGCTACCCCTCGGTTACTGGGTTCTCCAAAACAATTTTCGAGCTTTCACAAACGCGACAGGCATGCTGCCCATTCGTCTCGCGTGCCTGTCGAGCCACCTCACATTTGCGAGTCACGTGATCGCATCCTCCTTACCATGCGTCCTTCCCTCCCCGCTCTCGCCTCCCCTTCCTGCTCCCCATCATGTGCATACTGTATTTCCTAACCTAAACCGCACCTCACCATATTGAAATACATTTCACTAGTGTCTACCGTGTACATCAGAAATGCAGGCATATCTACCCAAATTCGTTCAGTTTGGTTCCTTGCTTATCAACTGCTGCTTCACACGGCTCCCTGTTTTCGAAGGGCCCCTTTGCGGAGAGGGGGACTGTCGTGCGCGGACTTCGGCCAAATGTGATGTTCTCTAGAAGCACTCGATTCTGTTTTTGATCAGGCTTGTTGGAGCTTTTGGAAGGAAATGCTCTTCGGATTACCACCCCGCGACATGTATCATTAGGCTTCTGGAACTCGCTTGCGTCATCGCCTAGAACCTTCCGTGAAAAGCCATCCCCTTTCATTTTCAAGCGCTGGAACTCAAATCGACCAGCTTATGCGTTACCTTTCATTAGCTTCGGTATGCAGATGCAGAGTCACACAATGGTTTGACGTTGCTGGACTCGTAAGGCCTTGTTTTATTTCAACCTAGTCCGAGTATGGTTAACGAACACGCGTGCTTTTATCCGCTAGGCTCCTAAATAGCAATCGATAGTCACTTGCGAAAATTGAATCCCTAGTTACTTTTGACCAGAGGACACGGAGTAGTGTAGCATACCCCGCTTAGCACGCCTCGCACAGAGCTTCAGGAGCAGAAAATGCATGCGAGCACGCCTTCTCACCACTGTCAATTTCTCGGTCCGATGCTTCTAGATGTTATTCCCGCGGCTCTTTTCACCTGCGACGAGGGTTTCCGCATCGCTCACTGCAGGTACATCAATCTTAACAGAATAATCTACTTCGTACACCCTGGAGCTCGTGACTGTTTCTCTGGTCCTTGTGTCGTTTCCCTTGCTTCTTAACCTCGTCGCTAAAGTCGTGCTTCTTATCCCTTCGGTCCGATGCGTGTGCAGCCATGCTTTGATGAGAATTCTCGGAGTGAAGCTCGACATTATTGTCGGAAAGCGGATAGGCGATCTTCTACACTCCGAAGATGCAAGAGCCGTTGAGGTCCGTCCATCTCTCCCTCTCGCTCCCCCTCGCACCCTTCCTCTCCTCTGTCTCTTACCTCGCTCTCCCTGGATTCCGGTGGCAACATGATCGCAAACGTAATCCCTTCCCCACACAATCTCACAACTGGTCTCGTGCACGAGCATGAGTCACGCTTCGGCCCTTGACCTCCTAACCCTTTGTGTCGCCGTCTCTTTCTCCCCGCGGTCTGTCCAGCCAATCATGGCCGAGTTCGCTCGAGCCAGTTCACCCTTTCAGCGGAAGCGTCTCGACGTGCGACTGCGAGTCAGCGACGAGCGACACTGTGACGAAACCGTCGCGAACTCGAATGCGAACAGCTCGCAGGCTTCGCAGTGGGCATGGTTCGAGATGTCGCTCGTGACGAGAGTCGTCGCCGGCGACGCGTTTCGCAGAGCAGGCGACTGCCGCAGCAAGGAAGGCGATGCTCGCGACAGAGCAGGTCTGCGGACGGAACACGCAGAACGACCGGTTCTCGCGGCATCAGAAGTGGCATCGCCGGGCAAGCGGGACGAGGCGACACCTATGGGTTTAGACAGTCATCGGATCCAAGGTTCTTCAGCTGCAGAGGTTCGCGACGGCAGCGGCGGTTGCGGCGGTAGCGGCGATGGAGCGGCGCAGGCGTGCATTCTCGCGACGTTCCACGAGATCTCCGCGCGGCGAGCGAGCATGGTGAGTCCTGCACCGCGCGCGTCACGCTGTACGCCGTGCGTTGCGGGTCACGCGATGCGTCGTGTGTCGCGCGTCGCGAAAGCTTCCGCCGTGAATCACGGGCCCGCTTCCACCCACCGTCGTTCGCACGGATGCCGGAATCTCACCTCGTGCTTGCGGCCGCCTTGTCCGCTCGCTTGCCGCACTCCTCGTGATCGCTGACTCACCTACGCCCTCCCCCACTCTCGCCCCCCCCTGCCGTCTCACGCGTCTCCCCACGGTCTGAGCAGGACGTGCTCGTGCGCGAGTTGCGGCGGACGGCCGACATGGCCGTGCGCGTAGCAGGCGGGGGAGACGGCGACGCGCCACACAGCCCTCGCGGCGACGGTCGACAGGCGCGTCGCTCTGACGCCGCGCAAAGTCCCCCTTGCAGCGACGACCCGCGGAACCCTAACGCTGACGATGATGGCTCACAGAGGGCGAGCGCTGGTACTGCTGCGACAGCTGGCGAGTCGCCACGGGTCGGCAGAAGCGATCGGAATTGCAGCGACAGGGGACAGGCAGGGGAAGGGCTGGGGATTGCAGCAGACGGCCGGGAGAGGAGAGGGGAGGAGGGAAGTGGGAGCGAGGGGAGTGAGGGGGAGAAGAGAGGGAAGGAGGCGAAAGGGGAGGAGGCGACAGGCGAGCAGGCGAGGGGGGATGAGGCGAGAGGGGGTGGTGAGGCGAGGGACCCAGTGGCGACGGCGTTGGAGCTGGTGGGGAGGGTGAAGGAGGTGGTGCAAGCGAGCCAGAAGAACTCCGTCTTCCGCACCATCTTCGAAATGTCCCTCGTCAGTGCCCTCCCTGCCCTCCCTGCCTTCCCTTGGCCGCTCTTCTTACATGCATCTCTGCTCTCTGCACCCAGCACAGTAACAAGCTGGAAGTCACACCAATCACCCATTTCCTGCTGTCCGTCCCTTAACTTCCCTTCATTCCCTTCACACCCCATTCCAATCTTTTCCCGCCTCCCTATCTCCCCATTTCCCAGTTCCAACCGACCAGGACCCCATGTTCATAGTTTCGCGCGAGTTCCGCGAGTTCCCTCGTCAGTGCCCTCCCTGCCCTCCCATTCTTCCCGCCTGCCAATCTCCTTGCCCCACCAACCAGGACCCCATGTTCATAGTGTCTCGCGAGTTCCGCATAATGGACTGCAACGATGCTGCCATCCGCCACATGCGCTTCGCTGCCCTGCACACCCCGACTCACCATCTCCTTGTCTCGCTGTCTCCCTGTTTCCCCGTCTCCCATTCTTCCCGCCTCCCAATTCCCCTGCCCCTACCAGGACCCCATGTTCATAGTGTCACGCGAGTTCCGCATAATGGACTGCAACGACGCGGCCATCCGCCACATGCGCTTCGCCTCCAAGGCCGAGGCCATCGCGCGCTTCGACGCCCTCTCCGGCGCGCCCAAATTCCAAGCCGACGGCCGCCGCACGGCTGACGTGGCAGCCGTCAACGTGGCGCGCATGCTGCGCGGCGAGACGGTCGTCGTGGAGTGGCGCCACCTGGCCGCCGACGGGACGCCGTTCGACGTGCTGTTGAATGTGAGAGAGATTATGGTGGATGGGCAGCGCTGCATGCTGTCGGTCTGGCACGACCTGTCTGAGATGAAGCGCAAGGAGGAGGAGCTGAAGGCGGCCAAAGAAGCAGCAGAGGCGGCAAACGAGGCGAAGAACCGGTTCCTGGCGAACATGAGCCATGAGCTGCGCACCCCCATGAATGGCGTCATCGGTGTCGCCGAGCTGCTCCTCCGCACGCCCCTTACCGACGAGCAGCGCATATACCTGGACGTCATCTGCTCCTCGGGCAACGCGCTCACCCACATCATCTCAGACGTGCTAGACATCACCAAGATCGAAGCGCACTCTCTCGCGCTCGAGTCCTACCCGTTTGACCTCCGGGAAACGGTGGTGGATTCGTTAGATGCAGTGAGATCGGCTGCTAGCAGGAAGGGCCTGCAGGTGACGAGCAGCGTGAGTGGGGAGCTTCCCGAGGCAGTGATAGGGGATCAGTTCCGCGTGCGGCAGATTGTGCTCAACCTGCTGTCCAACGCCATCAAGTTCACTGATGCTGGCACTGTGGGGATCGCGGTTACCACCAGTGCGGAGCGGCCGGTGCTGCAGCGAGGGAAGACGGAGGGGGGCTGTGCCGGGTGGGTGTGCGGGGGTGGGTGGGAGCGAGAGGAGATGCGGGAGGTGGAGGAGAAGAGTGATGGTGGGGTTCTTGGCAAGAGGGCGAGAGGGGAGGAATCTGTGGGTGCGGATGAAACAGGGTTAGAGGTTAAAGAGGGTAACGCTGCTCCTATGAGCTCTGCAAAGCGGCTTCGCAGGGAGCAGCAGAAGCAGCAGCAGCAACAGCAGCAACAGGAGGAAACGACTGTGAGGGGAGCAGGGCAAGGCAATGTGGCATCAGCAGCAGCACCAGTGTGGGTGCGAATAGACGTTAGCGACACGGGCGTGGGCATCTCCTCCGAGGCGATGGCGCGGCTGTTCACGCCGTTCCGGCAGGTGGACGACTCGTCGTGCCGCAAGCACGGCGGCACGGGCCTGGGTCTCTCCATCTGTCGCTCGCTCGCCGCGCTCATGGGGGGCTGCATCTCCGTCGCCTCCTCCCCCCGCCACGGCTCCACCTTCTCTGTTTGCCTGCCGCTGCAACCCACCAGGCAGTCTCCCTCTCGCCCTCACCACGTCTCGAACCAAATGCCCACAACTTCAGCTGCAGCTGCTGCTGCCGCCGCCGCCGCTGCTGCCTCTGCCGCCGCTGCTGCTTCTTCTAGCAAGGCAGCAGCAGCGCCAGCAGCAGCTGCAGACACGACTGCTAAGATTGGCAGCGCCCCTCCTGCTGCGCGGCCGTTTGAAAGCTACCTGAACTCAGAGCTGGGTCCGGTGGTGGCTGAACTTGACTCGTGCGGCTTGAGTGACGCAAGACTCACCCAGCTGGAAGGCCGAGGGCGGGGGGTGCGTTGGCAGGAGGACGCAGCAGCCCCAAGAGCAGGAGCAGCAGGAACAGGGTCGGTGAATGAGGTGGGGGAGGGGAAGGCAGGGGGCTCACGGGATGAGGGATGTTCGAGGAAGTTGTCTGCGGGTAAATGTTCCTCTGCTGTTGTGGGGAGTCCCAAGGGGAGCGGGGATGGGAGGAGCGGAGGAGGCAAGCGTGTGGCGCGTGCTGTTGGTGTTGGTGTTGCTTCTGCTGCTGCCGCTGCTGGTAGCGGCGGGGATTGTGGCCCGTTCAGCGGGCTGCGGTGCCTGGTGGTGGAGGACAACGCGGTGAATCGCATGGTGGTGGTGCAGCTGCTGAGGAACCTGCGAGTCTCGTGTGACGTGGCAGAGAATGGGCACAAGGCCGTGGAGGCCTGCCGCTCCACCAACTACCACGTCATCTTCATGGTATGCTCTCACCCTCATTATCCCTGCTACATCGCTTATCCACCAACTACCACGTCATCTTCATGGTATGTCCTTGTGCCTCTCTGGTGCTGCTCTTGATTGCTTTTCCACCAACTACTGCATCGTTTTCATGGTCAGTCCGTGCTCCTGTCTGGTGCTTCCCTTCGATTTATATCCACCAAGTGTCTCACTGTTTTCGAGGTCGGCACACACTCTCATCTGGCTGCTGTCAGACCCCCTTTTCATGTGCGAGGGATATACGCGCAGCCACTTACAGCTCACCTGCTGTCCTCCTCTTTCTCTACCCCCCATGTCACCTGCAGGACTGCCACATGCCAGTCATGGACGGGTTTGAAGCCACCACGCGCATTCGCAGCCTTCAGGGTGTCGAATCGCCCTCAAACGGACAGCCAGGTTTCTGCTCTGCTGATGTGAGAAAGGGGCAACAGAAGCAGCAATGTTCGACAGATTGCCATCAGCAGGCGCTGCAGCGGTCTGTTATTTATGCATTAACAGCAAGCGTGCTGAAGCATGAGAGGGACAAGTGCGCTCTCGTGGGGATGGATGGGTTCCTGGCAAAGCCGATACGCATGAGAGACCTGCAGCAGGTGTTGAGCCAAGTGCTGGCTAAGCCTCAGGTAAAAACATGCAGTGCAGCTTGCCACCATGGGCAAGCAGTTATGGTACCCATGAATCAGCCAATGTAGATTAACATCTAATTCTATTTATTCACTTATGAATCCGTCTCCTAGTCCTGTTCTAGAGATCAAGAGGTTCTACATTTCAGATGCCAAGTGCTGATTGGATACACTTCATGAAAGAATAGGGATGAACTTTCCTACTAAGCTTCGTTGTCGTTTATGCTTCTGGGTAGCTTTCTTTGTAAGCTACCTAGTGGCCAGTGGTCCAGCGGACACCGAGTTTGGATTGGATTGGACAGTACGTACAGTATAGGTCTGCGGGACCCTGCGCCACGCGTCTGCGCTTGACGTGTAGGGTCCTCCTGTCGTTCTCCGAACGCCATCTGCGGAACAAAGGGGCATCTGCGGAACAAAGGGGCGGCGGAGAAGCATTGCTGGCGCGCATTGCCAGCACAGCTCACTTAGGGGAAGGCTGCCAATGATGACCCGTCTTCCCCCTCATCCAAACCTTCGTCCCCCGACAAACACGTTCGATCCGCCCAGGAACAGACCATTTACACCCACCCCCACCCACCAGATTTGACCAAACGCCTGCCACCGCCACCAGTCAGCTTCTCGTCGTTTCTTCACAAGTGCGATGTTCAGAAGTCCTGTTCGGTTACGTCAGTTGCTTCCCGAGTCCCGACCCGTCTGTAGGGTGGGGCCACACTTTTTTCGTTAATAGGTCGTATGACGCGGTCTAATACGGTCACCCTTGTTTGGGAACGGTTCTGAAGTCCACCGTTTTATACCGTTGCGGACCAGAATGAAACTTTCAAAGTCGATTCAATAAAATAGCGTGCAGCTGGCATTCACACACTTGTGAGCAGTGTTATGCTTCATATGAGCATCTGTGTTGTGAATCAGTCAGTGAAGCATGTCAGCTTTACCGAGGCAACAACCACAGACAAGGTCACTTTATAATGTGCGTGTCGCACGTCGAGCTGACGTCTCCCATGGTATCGTTACCACGTTCACACGACATTAACTACGTCTTTCGCGAATCATGTCGCTAGGAGCGGTAGCCGGTTTCGCAACTGACGCCAGCAAGCACAGCGTTCCGAGCGAAGCGCGTCTCAATCTGCGACCCGAATGTTTTCCACTCGCACTCGCCGAATCCTCTACTCCAGCTTTTTCGCTCCTTAATCTCGTGCTCGCAGCAGTCCCTGCCGCGCTTATTTCTCCCGCGAGAGACTTTCGCATCGTTCAATGCAGGTACGCGCGAAAGACGGTCGAGGTAGACTCACTTGTTCGGTGTGGCGCACCGCGCGAAAAATGTTATTTTCTCAAAGTGCCGGACAGGCTTTGTGTAAAAAGCGTCAGTTATGTCTATAGATTTGCTCTTCTCGCTTCCATCGCTCACCCGCTCTACTCGCGCGGGAGTCCTCACGTCTCCCTCTATAGATTCGGACCTTTCTCGTGCCAACATGCTACCTTCCCCCGTCTTCCTTCTTCCCTCCTCCCCACTCTCCCCCCCTCCCCTCCGGCCCCCCTCTTCCCCACTCCCCTCCCTCCCCCTTCGTGTTGACGCGTCGTCGTCGCGTGTGCGCAGCGCCGCTCTCCTTCGCGCTGTTGCCGGCGATGCGAATCTGCCAGTGACGGCCGAACGGCAGACGCGGAAAGAGTCTGCCGGGTGGCCGGCAGTGGCCGTCAAGTTGCCTCAGCAAGCACCGGCGAGGGAAAGTGAAGAGCATGGGAGGATTGCGCAAGGGAAGGTTCTAGGAAGGTCGCTGCTGGAGCTGATCCACCAGGATGACGTCAGGAAAGTCAAGGTATGACAGTTGAGTCGACTGAATAGGCACCCCATTGCATTAAGAGCGTAGCATTAAGAGCGTAGCTTAAAGAGGGTGAAAGTAAGATAGTTGGGTCAACCCAGAAGTCACCTCATTACATCAGGAGCGTAGAGTGCTGACAGGAAAATGTAGGTATGAGCGGAGAGTGAAGGTGTGACAGCAGGGTTGGCAAGGCGTGTGCTTTCTGGTACCCGACGCCGGTTGAAAGCATGACTCTATGTGTGCTGCTTCGTGTTCTTGCAGCATGCGCTCTCACACCCAACCGCAACAGCACCAGGAGCAGGAGCAGAAAGAGCAGGCGGCGCAGCAGCAACAGGAGCAGGATCGGGAGCAGCAGCACCCAGAGCAGCACGACCCGTGGACGTGCGGTTGATGCAGGCTGCAGAGGGGAGGGGTGATGTAGTACCCGCAGCAGCAGCAACGCAAGCAGCAGAGGGAAGGGGCAGAGCCGGCGACAACTGCAACAACAGCATTAACAGCAGCAGCAGCATGAGCAGCAGCAGTGGTGGTTTCAGATGGTATGAGATGCGCGTGTGGCGCGTTGATAGCGCCGCTGCTGCGCTGCTGCATCCCGCAGAGGCGATGGGCGGGCTGGGGGAGGAGGAGAGGGGGCGCAGGGCGGAGGACGGCGCAAGGTGGGCGGAAGGAGCGGAGAGGGGGAGTGGAAGAGTAGTGGAAGGGATGAATGGGTCAGCTCCGGGCTGTGATACTTGTGCATACACTCATGGGTTGATGCAACACCATGTCGCATGTGCATGCGCATCCGGCCATGGTGCGATGGAGCACCATGGTGCATGCACAACTGCATGTGCACATGCTGACTCCTGGCTTCTCTGTCTCTTCCACGATATCACCATGAGAAAAACCTTTGAGGTATGCCCCATCGCTCTTCACCGTTTTGTTTCTCCACTCTGTCTCAGCTCCTCCGTCACATGCCTTCGTGCGTCTATCTTCACCGCTCTCCATCACTTTCTGCCACTCTGCACCCCTCTGTATCCCACCAACTCTTGTCCCTTTCAGTCAGCACAAAACCACCCCTCTGCACCCTTTTGCACCCCTTGTGACCCCCCATTCCCTCTACTCCTCCCCTGCTGCAGCACGCCACAGCGAATGTGGAGCTGGCAACGAATCTGGCGCAGGTGAAGCCCCCCACCTTGCCTCATGCACTTTGAGTCCATACAAACCCAACACCACCACCCTGCACCCCCCTCCACTCCTCCAGGCGCAGCTGCTGCAGCACGCCACAGCATGTGCGGAGCTGGCAACGAATCTGGCGCAGGTGAAGCCCCCCGACCCCGTCTCATGGGGGGATGCTGTTGAGAAACACTACGGGACTCGCCCCTCGCCCCATGCAGCACCCCCGCCCCATGCGCCTCCCCCACCCCATGTGGCACCCCCGCCTCATGCGCCACCGCCCCATGCATCCCCTCCCCATGGCCCCCCTGCTGCTGCTGCTGCTGCTGCTGCTGCTGCTGCTGCTGCTGCTGCTGCTGCTGCTGCTGCTGCTGCTGCTGCTGCTGCTGCTGCTGCTGCTGCTGCTGCTGCTGCTGCTGCTGCTGCTGCTGCTGCTGCTGCTGCTGCTGCTGCTGCTGCTGCTGCTGCTGCTGCTGCTGCTGCTGCTGCTGCTGCTGCTGCTGCTGCTGCTGCTGCTGCTGCTGCTGCTGCTGCTGCTGCTGCTGCTGCTGCTGCTGCTGCTGCTGCTGCTGCTGCTGCTGCTGCTGCTGCTGCTGCTGCTGCTTCTGCTGCTGCTGCTGCTGACCCGTCCCATCCGCCTGCTGCTGCTGTCGTGCCCCATGCAGCTACTGCTGCCGCTACTGCGACTGCTCCTTCCGCTCACCATCCTGCTGCCACCCCTCCCAACGCTGCCAGTGCCCCCCACCACCCCAGCCACCCCAACCAGGCCATTTCCGCCAGCCCCCCCCCACAGCACCTCACATGCGCCCATCACCCCAGCGCACCCAGCGCCCCCACCGTCTCCAGTGCCCCCGCCGCCCCCAGCGCCCCCATGGTCTCCAATGCCCCCGCCGCCCCCGGTGCCCCCGCCGCCCCCGGTGCCCCCGCCGCCCCCAGCGCCTCCGCTCCCCCGCCCCTCAAGCTTCACCCCCAGCAGCGGCGCAGGCGGAGGGGGAGGCGGCGCACACAGGCAGTGGGGCGGCGGGCGGACGGTTATCCTGACCACTTCTGGCCCTCCTATCCCCCTGACGAGACCCCCCCTCCGCCTGCGCCTGGTGTGGGGGGGGGAGGGGGGAGAGAGGGGGAGGAGGGGGAGGGGTGGGAGGACATGGAGGAAGGAGAGGATGGGGAGGAGGAGGAGAGTGCGTTGGAGGAGGCGATGAGGGTGGTGGAGGAGATCAGGGCGACGCTTCTGGAGTGCCAGGGCCATGCCAAGTTCCATGCCATCTACCAGCTCTCCATGGTGCGATGCCGTGCCATGCCATGCCATGCCATGCCATGACTTTGCCTTGCCATCCCTTGCATGTTGTGAGCTTTGAGTCGACTAAACATTCAGGAGTGCCAGGGCCATGCCAAATTCCATTCCATGCCATCTACCAGCTCTCCATGGTGCGTGCCCGTCCTCTTACTCTACTCACCACCTCGCTGCGCCCCTCCACGCCATGTTCCATGCCATGCCATCTACCAGCTCCCCCCATAACCCCCACTTACCCCTAGGTGCCCTTGCTTGCACGTGTTTTTCCAGCACCATGGCGCGCATCAACTGCAACGATCCCCAAGTCCTATACCCCCCCATCCTGTCACCCCTGCCACACCCAAGTCCCATCCTGTCACCCCTGCCACACCTGCTGCCCACTAAGCCAACCCCCCGTTCCCCACCCCCCCCTCCCCTCCCTTCCCCTCCCACTGTCAGGAGCCCATCCTGGTGTTTTCCAGCAGCATGTCGCTCATAGAGTGCAACGACACGACAGTATGGTTGATGCGCTGCCCTCAATCAATGTGCCACCCCTCTTTCCGCTCCTTTCCCTCCGCCCCCAATCTCCACCCCTTTCCCACCCCCTCTTATCAGGAGCCCATCCTCGTCTTTTCCAGCAGCATGGCGCTCATAGAGTGCAACGACGCGGCGGTGCGGTTGATGCGCTTCCGCAGCCGAGCAGACGCCCTGGCCAACTTCCGAGTGGCCAAGATGAGCCCCGAGTTCCAGCCCGACGGGAGGCGGTCCCGGGAGGCCATTCTGGGCATGCACGGGCGGATGATGAGCGGCGAGGTGGTGGAGTTTGAGTGGTGCCATCTCACTGCTGACGGGCACCCCATCATGCTGCAGGTGGGTGGGTTGACGGCTGTTGCGCGCGAGAAGTTTCCTGTACAGGTATGTGGTATGATATGAGGGGCCCTGGCCAGCTTCCGAGTGGCCAAGATGAGCCCCGAGTTCCAGCCCAATGCATGCACATGCTCATCTTTGTTCCCCACCCACCCACAGGTGAAGGTGAAGATCATAGGAATCGGCGGCGAGTCGTGCCTGTTAGCCGTCTGGCACGTTCTTACCGACTGATAGCCTCTTTTGAGTCAACCCAAAGTCTCTGTGTGCATGCACGTGCTCTTCTTTGTTTCACCCACGCGCAGGTGAAGGTGAAGATCATTGAGATCGGCGGCGAGTCGTGCCTCCTAGCCGTGTGGCACGACTTAACCGAGTCCAAGCGCAAAGAAGAGGAGCTCCGAGCGGCCAAAGACGCGGCCGAGGCAGCGAGTGAGGCGAAGAATCGGTTCCTGGCGAACATGAGCCATGAGCTGCGCACCCCCATGAATGGCGTCATCGGTGTCGCCGAGCTGCTCCTCCGCACGCCCCTCACCCCGCAGCAGCGCTCCTACGTCGACGTCATCTCCTCGTCTGGCACGGCACTCATCCATATCATATCTGATGTGCTGGATATTACCAAGATTGAGGCGCATGCGCTGGTGTTGGACCGGAACCCGTTTGATCTACGGAGGACTCTGTCTCAATGTCTTGCTGTCGTGCGCACCGCTGCTGACGGCAAGGGGCTCAAGGTGGGTTGGCGAAATGGTGCGACGCGGTGCAGTGCAGTGCAGTGGAGGTGTCTGTTACAGCTCTGGCTGGTGTTGTGGTGTGAGCATGTCGTGTAGTTTGGTGAATTGTTGACGGCAAGCCTGGTTCCGGAGATCCTCTGAAGGTACAAACAGTACCGTCAAGCAGAGGCTGTAGTAGTACGGTCAAGCAGAGGCTGTAGTAGTACGGTCAAGCAGAGGCTGTAGTAGTACGGTCAAGCAGAGGCTGTAGTAGTACGGTCAAGCAGAGGCTGTAGTAGTACGGTCAAGCAGAGGCTGCAGTAGTACGGTCAAGCAGAGGCTGTAGTAGTACGGTCAAGCAGAGGCTGTAGTAGTACGGTCAAGCAGAGGCTGTAGTATTACCGTCAAGCAGAGGCTGTAGTAGTACGGTCAAGCAGAGGCTGCAGTAGTACGGTCAAGCAGAGGCTGTAGTAGTACGGTCAAGCAGAGGCTGTAGTAGTACGGTCAAGCAGAGGCTGCAGTAGTACGGTCAAGCAGAGGCTGTAGTAGTACGGTCAATCAGAGGCTGTAGTAGTACGGTCAAGCAGAGGCTGTAGTAGTACGGTCAAGCAGAGGCTGCAGTAGTACGGTCAAGCAGAGGCTGTAGTAGTACGGTCAAGCAGAGGCTGCAGTAGTACGGTCAAGCAGAGGCTGTAGTAGTACGGTCAATCAGAGGCTGTAGTAGTACGGTCAAGCAGAGGCTGCAGTAGTACGGTCAAGCAGAGGCTGTAGTAGTACGGTCAAGCAGAGGCTGTAGTAGTACGGTCAAGCAGAGGCTGCAGTAGTACGGTCAAGCAGAGGCTGTAGTATTACCGTCAAGCAGAGGCTGTAGTAGTACGGTCAAGCAGAGGCTGCAGTAGTACGGTCAAGCAGAGGCTGTAGTAGTACGGTCAAGCAGAGGCTGTAGTAGTACGGTCAAGCAGAGGCTGCAGTAGTACGGTCAAGCAGAGGCTGTAGTAGTACGGTCAAGCAGAGGCTGTAGTAGTACGGTCAAGCAGAGGCTGTAGTAGTACGGTCAAGCAGAGGCTGTAGTAGTACGGTCAAGCAGAGGCTGTAGTAGTACGGTCAAGCAGAGGCTGCAGTAGTACGGTCAAGCAGAGGCTGTAGTAGTACGGTCAAGCAGAGGCTGTAGTAGTACGGTCAAGCAGAGGCTGTAGTAGTACGGTCAAGCAGAGGCTGTAGTATTACCGTCAAGCAGAGGCTGTAGTAGTACGGTCAAGCAGAGGCTGTAGTAGTACGGTCAAGCAGAGGCTGTAGTATTACCGTCAAGCAGAGGCTGTAGTAGTACGGTCAAGCAGAGGCTGCAGTAGTACGGTCAAGCAGAGGCTGTAGTAGTACGGTCAAGCAGAGGCTGTAGTAGTACGGTCAAGCAGAGGCTGTAGTAGTACGGTCAAGCAGAGGCTGTAGTATTACCGTCAAGCAGAGGCTGTAGTAGTACGGTCAAGCAGAGGCTGCAGTAGTACGGTCAAGCAGAGGCTGCAGTAGTACGGTCAAGCAGAGGCTGTAGTAGTACGGTCAAGCAGAGGCTGTAGTAGTACGGTCAAGCAGAGGCTGTAGTATTACCGTCAAGCAGAGGCTGTAGTAGTACGGTCAAGCAGAGGCTGTAGTAGTACGGTCAAGCAGAGGCTGTAGTATTACCGTCAAGCAGAGGCTGTAGTAGTACCGTCAAGCAGAGGCTGTAGTAGTACGGTCAGGCGTTGAAACGGGCACAAGCATTCATACCTCGTCTTGCATGCATGTCCAATTCCCCATCTTCTCCTCTCTCCCCCACTTCACCCCTCTCGTTCGTTTCTCCTTCTCCCTCTCCTCCCTCTTTGCCTTTCTCTCAGCTGCACAGCCGTGTGGGAGAGGGTGTGCCGGCGTGTGTGCTGGGAGACCAGTTCCGAGTGCGGCAGATTCTCCTCAACCTGCTCTCCAACGCCATCAAGTTCACCGACAGGTGTGCGCTCTCAGTGGTGTGTTTGGTGGAGTGGTTTATGGGTGTAGTGCGGTTTAAGGGAGTGTGGATGGGTGGGAGTGTGTGGTGGGATGTGGTGCGGCAGATTCTGCTCGACCTGCTGCTCAACGCCATCAAGTTCACCAACAGGTGTGTGGAGTGTGGTGAACGGGTGTGGTGCGCGGTTGGAGGGAGTATGGTACATGAGTGTGAGTGCGCGGTTGCAGGGAAGGTCGCAGATTCTCCTCAACCTGCTCTCCAACGCCATCAAGTTCACCGGCAGGTGTGTTCTCGCTGTGCCGCGTGCTCGCAGTGGTGTCTGTGGTGGATGGGTGTGAGTGCGCACTTAGGAGGAGTGAGAGTGTGGGCGCGTATGTGTGTGGTGGGTGAGTGAGAGTGGGCTGGTCTGTTGGTGGTGGGTGAGTGAGTGTGGGCTGGCGTGTGGGTGAGTGTCAGTGGGTATGTGTGTGGGTGGCGGGTGGGTGAGTGTGAGTGGGTATGTGTGTGGGTGGCGGGTGGGTGAGTGTGAGTGGGTATGTGCGTGGTGGTGGTGGGTGGGTGACTGAGTGTGAGTGGGTGTGTGTGTGGGTGGCGGGTGAGTGGGACGTCTGCAGCAGTGCGAAGCCCTAACCGGCTCTCTAACTGCTTCTTCCCTCTTCTTCCCCTTCCTGCATGCCCCTTGCAGAGGAGAGGTGGAGGTGCAAGTATACCTGCAGATCCAGCCACACCTGCCCTCAGCACTGCCACCAGTCGAAGCGCCTTCTCCTCCTTCTGCTCCTTTTGCGCCTTCTCCTCCTTCTGCTCCAGCTACTCACTGCTCTGCTGCTACTCGTACTGTCGCGGCTACTCACAACCTGGCTGGTACTCGCAACCCTGCTGCTGCAAGCTTTGTTGAGCCTCATTCAGAGAAGGGAGAGTCAAATAGCACATACGCACTCGAAGCGAATTCAATAGAGGCACATTCAGTAGAGGCGCATTCGCCAGATACGCAGCTTCTGAACGACGAATCTGGGCCGTCCAAACCTGAGCCTGGCCCTCCTCCTCCCGGCGCCGCCACCGCCGCTGCTGCTGCTTGCTCTGCAGGAGCAGCAGGGGAAGCGGGCGAGCGAGCAGAGCGTGCACACGTGGAGGCACAAGAGGAGGCAGCAGTGCTAGCAGCAGCGCCGCACACCCCACCACTGCACCCTCCGCTCCCGGGGCTGATTTCTGAGCCGCCTCAGAAACCGTTTGCAGCGCCGCACACCCCGCTTCTGCATTCCCCTCTCCCTGTGCCGTCCCTCTCCTTCCCTGCAGCAGCACCACCCATCCGCACGTGCCACTCTGCCACCCACCTGAGTGCGCTGGCCGAGGTTCTGGGCGAGGGCCCGTATCAGGCAGGTGAAGGGGCCTTCGAGGGCACGCCAGGGGTGGTTTGTGAGGCGAGTCAAAAGTCATGCCGGGCGGGTGAAGGGGGCTTTAAGGGGGCGCAGGCGGGTGTGCAGCAGGGGTCGGTGGGTAAGGCCCCTCCTGCCAAACGGGCCCGTGTGGGCGGGTGCCATGGGGGTGGGGGTCGTGGGTTGAGTGCTGGGGGTAGGGGAGGGCGCGGGAGGCATGAGGGGGAAGGGGGAGGGCGGGAGGTCCAAAAGGGAGAACAGGGTGGGGGAGGGGGAGGGGCAGGAGGAGGAGGGGGAGGAGCCGGCAAAGAGAGTGGGGTGCGTCACGCACGCCAAGCTTCGTGGAATGCTCCCGGGGCTGTGCTGGCTCGGGCTGACGCTGCTGCCGATGCTGCGGTGGTGGCTGGGGGAGCTGTGTTGACTGGCTTGGGTGGTGGGACGGGGGTGAGTGAGGGGGAAGGGCTGGCCGGTGGGGCAGATAGAATAGTAGGGGGGCGCATGATCGATCCTGAAAAAGCCGTCGAAGCAGGAACAAGGGAAATACCAACAGCAGCAGCAGCAGCAGCAGCAACAATAGGAGAAACGAGCAGGGTGGCTACACAAGGGGCAGAGAGGAGAGAAGCTGTGCAAGTGGGGACGAAGCAGAAGGACATGCAAAGGCAGGAGAAGGGGGGCCATCCAGCCAAAGCAGCTGCTGCAGGAGCATGCTCATTAGCAGGAGGAGAAGCTCCCTTGGCTACATTCGAGCAAAACGCCCTGCACTGCTCCCAGCAATGCAAGGAGAAGCCAGTGCAGGTGCAGCCTGGTACTGAAGAGATGCAAGGAGAGAGAGGAGCAGCGCAGGAACAACAACCCGGAGAGGCAGGCGAGGCGGCGGTGTGGGTGAGGATAGATGTGAGGGACACGGGCGTGGGAATACCGGAGGATCAACTGGGGCGGCTGTTCACGCCGTTCCGGCAGGTGGACGACTCGTCGTGCCGCAAGCACGGCGGCACGGGCCTGGGTCTCTCCATCTGTCGCTCGCTCGCCGCGCTCATGGGGGGCTGCATCTCCGTCGCCTCCTCCCCCCGCCACGGCTCCACCTTCTCCCTCTCCCTGCCCTTCTCTCCTTCCTCTGCCCCCCCTGCTTGCAGCGGGCAGGAGGCAGATCTGAAGGTTGTTGGGAGTGCGTCTCTGCCTGATGTGGTGGCGATGCCGTTATTGCCTGCTGATGACCCTCTCGTGCAGCAGCAGCAGCGGCAGAAGGAGGAGCGGCAGCGGCAGGAGCAGCAGAGGCAAGAGGAGGAGCAGGGGGAGGAGGAAGAGGAGGAGGGGGAGTGGGAGGAGGGGCAGGAGGAGGAAGTAACGCATTCTGCTGGTGGTAGGGGGTGTGGGTGTAAGAGAGGGAGCCGGAGGGCGACGGGTATTAGGGGACCAGGGAAGGAGGAAGGAGAGGAGGGGAGTGGAGGAGATGGTGTAAATGCAGGTGGAGGAGGAGGAGGAAGAGGAAGAGAAGGAGGTGACGTGCAAGAGGATGATACAGTGGGGAGAGAGGGATGCCCCAGGTGCAGGGGAGGCGGCTTGAGTGCGAGGATGCAGAGCAGGAGCAGAGGAACCAAGGACTCGGCTGGTGTTTCTGGTGGTGCGGCTGACACTGCTGCTGCATCTGGTGCTGCTTCTGCTGCTGCTGGTGGCAGCTGCAGCAGTGGCGGTGGTCCGTTTGAGGGGCTGAGGTGCCTGGTGGTGGAGGACAACGCGGTGAATCGCATGGTGGTGGTGCAGCTGCTGAGGAACCTGCGAGTCTCGTGTGACGTGGCAGAGAATGGGCACAAGGCCGTGGAGGCCTGCCGCTCCACCAACTACCACGTCATCTTCATGGTCAGTCCACCAACTGCCACGTCATCTTCATGGTCAGTCCACCAACTGCCACGTCATCTTCATGGTCAGTCCATCCATGGTCTTGCATTCGTGCTTCGCTTCATCTCTTATCCAACATCTACCACAGCATCCTCATAGTGACTCCTTGTGCTTCCTCGTCACGCCTCATTTTGCGTTTCTTTGGTTCTCGTATCCTCCTCTCATTTCACTACCATGTCTTTTTCCTGCGTTACTCTTCCTTCAATCTGCTGCTGATCTACGCTTTCTCCTACAGGACTGTCAGATAGCCAGTGATGGACGGCTTTGAAGCCACCACATCCATCGGACAGCTGCAGGCCCTTCCTCACACTGCTGCGTTGTCTTGTTACTTCTCCTGCCTAACTCTTCCGCCACCTCTATTGACCCGTGCGTGTTTGCTTCCACAGGACTGTCAGATGCCAGTGATGGACGGCTTTGAAGCCAACAAGCATATCTAACGGGTGCAAGGCCCCCTTTCACACCGCTGCATGGTTTTGTCAAATCTCCTGCCTAACTTTCTCCCCTCATCTCCTCCTGACCTGTGCTTGCTCCCACAGGACTGTCAGATGCCAGTGATGGACGGTTTTGAAGCCACCACACACATCCGACGGCTGCAAGCCGCCCCTCACCCCGCTCAAGCTGGAGCTGTGGGAGAAGCGAAGGCGGGTGAAGCAGTGCAAGCAGGGAGAGACCCACAGGGGGGGTGTGGTGGACAGGCTGACACAAGGCTGGCTTCCCGGCAGCAGCAGCAGTCGGGTTTGAATGCGCAGCAGCAGCAGTCGGGTTTGAATGCGCAGCAGCAGCAGTCGGGTTTGAATGCGCAGCAGCATCAGTTGGGCTCAAAAGCGCAGCAGCGGTCGGTTATATATGCGTTGACTGCGAGTGTGTTGAAGCATGAGAGAGACAAGTGTGTGAGTGTAGGGATGGATGGGTTCCTGGCCAAGCCGATCCGCATGAGAGACCTGCGGCAGGTGCTGCAGGAGGTGGTGGTTGGACGCATGTAGGTTGGCTTTTTTTTAGGCGCTTTCATGCAGGAATGGTGGATTCATGCCCAGCACGCATGAAGCTGTGGTAAAAGGATGTCCTTGTTGTCTGAAATACTAGGCAGGAATGGATGAACTAGGAAAGTGTTGGGTAGAAGTATGCAACCTTAAAAGGGGTTGTACCCCATATTGGCTACCCCACTACAGCCTAAACATATATAGCATACATATAATTTGACACACCCCCATAGGCAAAGTGGGGGAGAACAAGGGGTCACAAGACCAGTCAAGAGAAGCAAAGCAAGCTTAGGGTGGATCACAACGTCACCACACACACTGAGCACAAGCAAAGGGCCACAAGGCCAGTTCACATGCAGGGTATATATGCAACAACAACAGCACAGTGATCTCTACCTAGCAGAGCAAGCATGCAGGTAAATATATAGATCACAGTACAAGCAAAGTCTACAGCAAGTGAGGAAACGTGGGCACAAGGCCTAACGAAGTACAAAAACGCTGATGATCACCAGACGGAAGTGCCTTGGTGAATATATCAGCAGTGTTGGCCCGAGTGGCCACGTCAGCAAGATGAAGCTGACCAAGCTGCTGCAACTCTCGAGCAAGGAAGTAACGCAGAGCGATGTGCTTCGTTCTGTGCTCCAGTCTGTGCTCCTGACACAAGGCAATGGCGGCCTTATTGTCTACGTACAGAACTGGAGGAGAACGAGGCCGCTCTCACAGGTCGGTCAGCAGGTAGGTGAGCCAGCGTAACTCCTGTGCAGCCATGGCTGTGGCGTAGATCTCAGCCTCACAACAAGAGCTGAGAACAGAAGACGAGCGTGTAGACCGCCAAGAAACAGAGCCAGAGCCAAGACTGGAGGTGTAACCCTGTGACGACCGCTGCGTAGCCTGGTCGTCAACCCAAGAAGCGTCCGAGTGCCCAGTGAGGACAACGTCGCCCCGTCCTCCAAGCACTAGCCCCATGCCCGATGTACTGCACAAGTAGCGCAGTACCCTCTTAGTAGCATCCATGTGCACCTTTCGGTGCCTACCAGGAGCCACGTAGCGAGCCAGAAGGCCAAGAGGGTACGCAAGGTCAGGACGAGTGCATGTCATCAGGTACATGAGGCAGCCCACTAGCTCTGGGTAAGGACCACTCGGCTCTACGGACTCGTCCGAAGGTGGAGCTGAGAGCGAGTGACCTGTAGCCAGAGGAGTGGCCTGTGCCGAGGACCAAGTGAAGCCGAAGCGCTGAAGGACCTGCTGCACCATGTGTGACTGAGTCAGTGTGATGGTGCGGCGTGCTCTGTCTCGGGTGATCTGCAAGCCAAGGTAACTGCGCAGCTCACCCAGGTCTGTGCACGTGTGTCTCTTCTGCAGCTCCGACTTCACCAGGGCAAGAGCCTCAGTGTCAGCAGTGGCAAAGACCAAGTCGTCGACGTACACGATGATGTAGAATGGCGGTAGCGAAGTGTCGGTGCGCGCGACGGGTTAGCAGTGGAAGGAGCAAACCCAAGAGCCGCAAGTGTCATCCTCAGTGTGTCGTGCCACTCATGCGGCGCCTGGCGGAGACCGTAGACTGGCCGCCGGAGGCTCCACTGGGTACCAAGAGGGAACAACCCAGTGAAGCCACGTGGGCGGCGAAGCCAGATCTCCTCATGTAGGCTGCCCTGTAAGAAAGCTGTGCTGAAGTCAAGAGAGTGAAGCTCGTAGTCACGCTGAGCGGCAACGTGCAGCAGCACCCGAAGAGTGGTCATCTTCGGGGTGGGGGAGAAGGTCTGGAAGAAGTCAACTCCCTCCCGCTGACTGAAGCCTCGAGCCACGTAACGAGCCTTGAAGACAGGCGGAGAACCTGGCGGCCGCTTCACCCTGAAAATCCACATGCCATCGACGATGTTCACCCCAGGAGGGGAAACCTCGTCTACGTAAGTGCCTGTGGACTTCCAGGATGCCATCTCTGCGTCCATGGCTGTCTGCCACTGAGAAGAGTACTCACCCGCGATCGCTTCAGCGTAAGAGCGCGGGGTCGGGATGTCGGGAGCATCCGGGTCTCCCTCAGGGGCAAGCATCATGGCCATGAGATGAGGCGCAGCGGCTGCAAGACACCCAAGGTCCTCCTGCCTGTCCTCAAGGACGTCCGTGCTAAGAGCACACTCACCCCCGGCGGATGGAGGACAGACAGACTCAGACTCAGCAACAAGACTAGCGGCATAGTCTAGACGACATGCAACAGCAAAGTCAACAAGCTCAGCGACTAAGGCAGACGCAGCAGCAGACTCAAACGACGGGTCTGTGACAACAGTGGCTAGCAGACGCGTAACAGTAGGGTGAGCAGCACGAGCGCGGTCAGACTCAGGCTCAGGACCGTCAGGCAGAGAAAACGCAGGAGAGGACAGCAGGGGAACACGCTGCGGAGCAGAGGAAGGGCGCAGGGCCATAAGGTGTGTGCTGGGGACAGCCGGCGGACGCTCACGAGGAACACGACGACCAGTACGACCAGTGCGGACAGTGCGGACAGTGCGGACAGGCGAGACAGGACGAGACGCAGGCTCACGACGCTCAGCAAGACCTCCTGTCTGCTCAGTGTAAGGAGAAGGAGCAAGCAGCTGTGAGCCAGGCTGTAACGGAAGACCAGTAGAAGACGGGAGGCTAAGAACCTGGCGAAGCACGGAGTCAGGCGGTGGCAGAGACGAAGGCGACGGCGGAGCGAATAACAGTCGCGGCTGGGCAGGGCCACCAGTACCAGCAGGTCCAGCACCTCCAGCACCAGCACCTCCAGCGCCAGCACGTCCAGTACCAGCACCTCCAGTAGCTCCAGAACCTCCAGCTCCAGCACCTCCAGTGCCAGCACCTCCAGAACCTCCAGCGAAAGTACCTCCAGTACTAGCGCCACCAGCAGCAGCACCCCCAGACTCAGCAGAACCACCAGCCCCAGCAGCTCCAGTACCTCCAGTAAGAGCACCTCCGGGAGCAGCTGCTCCAGAAACTCCTGTAGAAGCGCCTCCAGTAGCTAAGTCACCAGCTCCAGTGTCTCCAACGCCAGCGCCGGCCGCATCAGGGCCCCCAGCTCCAGTAGCACAACCCTGACGGCTAACGTACCACTCACGCAGCTGCTGTGGGGAGAGAAGGAGACGCTGACTAGAGAGCTGCGGCGCGGCACCAGCGGAGCGACTACGGAGGCGGCCGCTCCAAGGAGACTGCACACCAGGGCAGGCGTAGTACCCCCAGACTCAGTACCCCCAGGCGCAGCACCCCCAGACTCCGCACCCTCAGGCTCAGCACCCCCAGGCTCCTCACACTCAGGCTCAGCACCTCCAGGCTCCACACCCCCAGGCTCAGCACCCCCAGGCTCCGCACCCCCAGGCTCAGCACCCCCAAGCTCCACACCCCCAGGCTCAGCACCCCCAGAAGCAGCACCCTGAGCAAGACCACCCCCAGCAGGACCTGAGTCACCAGTGACCTCGACCGGCTCAGTCAAGGGAAGAGGGTCTACCTGAGACACACATGAAGGAGCAGGACCTGGAGCGGGGAGGGGGTCTACTTGGGGAGGACCTGGAGCGAGAAAGAGCGGCGGGGGGGGGAGAGAGGCAGTGCGGTAGGGAAAGAGACGGTAAAAGGGGACCGGCTCGTCAAAGGTGACGTCGTGAGACGCAAAGATACGGCGCGAGGCGGGGTCGTAAAACTGCCAGCCAGGCACATCAGGGACAAAGCCAAGGAAGACGCAGGGAATGGCGCGAGGGGAGAGCTTATCCGCAGTGGTATCGCGGACAAATGCACGAGCACCCCAGACCCGGAAACGCGACGCATCGCCAACCTCCCCCGTCCAACGCAGTGTGGGCGAAGTCTCCGGCACGGAGACACGGGGCCAGAGGTTGAGGTGATGCGCGGCGTACCGGACCGCAAACGACCACAGAAAATGGGGGGCAGCCACATGGATCATGGAGGTACGAGCGACCTCCATGACTAAGCCAATGCGGCGCTCAGCAACCCCATTCTGCTGCGGAGAGGCCGGAAGCGTGAACGTCTGGCGGATGCCGTGCTCCTCACAGTAGGCTCGCAAGAGGTCGGAGGCGAACTCACCACCTCTGTCGGAGTGCAGACGCAGGACAGGAAAGTCCGACTGGAACCGCCCGCGGAGCTGGAGACGCACTCCGCGGATCCAAGGGATCAAAACATCAGGGACCTCCCCCTTGTGTTGCAAGGGGAAGACCGTGGTGTAACGCGTGTAGTCGTCGACTACCAGCAGGAAGTACCGCTCGTGGCCCTGTCCACGGACGGGGGTTGGGCCCCACACGTCCAGGTGGAGAGTCTGCAGTGGAGCCTTTGTGGGAGGGAACGAGGAGGAGTGAGGAGCGGCGCGCTGCCGCCCCTCAACGCAAGGAATGCAGGGCGGCGCAGGCGAGGGAGGGAGGGAGGGCAGAGACCTAGGAAGACCAGAGACCAGGCGGCGAGAGTGCATGCCACGAAGGCAAGGCAGGGAGGGGTGACCAAGGCGGTGGTGCCATAGGAGAGTCTGGTGCGACAGGCTGCGACACTCACACCGGGTAGCTACCTGAGCGGACGCGTACAGCTGAGGAGACAAAGGGGTGGAGCGCGACGTAGTGGTGAGGGTGTACAGATTGGACCTAGGCGCACGTGTGAACGTGGCTAGGTGGCGGCCGGTCCGAGAGCACGTGCAGATCGCCACACGATGTCCTCCAGGAGTAAAGGTGTCAACCCAGTGATCCTGAAGGACGGCGGTGCTCACCATGTTCGTAGAGAACGAGGGGAGGTGGAGACCAGACAGCTCACCAGACGGGACCGCCGGACACGGAAGCACAGTACTGGTTTGTGCTAGCACTGGGCCCCCAGAGGGGTCAGCCAGTGAGACAGGGACAGGTGCAGGGAGGGGAGTGACTGTGGTGCTATCGCGAAAGAAACAGCGAGAAGCACCAGAGTCAAGTGTAAAGGTGTGCAAAGCCTGAGCGGACGCAGTACCATGGAGAGCAAACTCGCTAGCACCTAGGGCTGCAGACTCTATAGCGGCATACACAAGTAGCAGTCACCCTCAGCACTAACAGTCAATGCATACATGACAGCAAGAATTGCATCATAGTCAAGATCAAACATAGGAACACCACGCCTAGACAGGTCTGCCCAGTGGGGAAACTCAGTAGCCTCCGGAAACTTGGCGCGCCAGGCGTCGCTAAGCCGAGAGAAGCAGCGGTACTCAGTGTGAGAACCGTTGCATGGGCGACCAGTGCGGGGACCCGTGCGAATGACATAGGGGCAGCGAACAGGACCCCCAGACGCCCTACGCTAAGCATACCAGTCACGAAGCTGCTGAGTTGTGGGGGTCTCACGCTGGCCCTGCTGCTGCTGCTGCTGTCCCTGGCCACCACCGGAGCTCCCCTTCTGGCCGGATCCACTCCAGCCCCCACCACCGCTGCCACCACCGCTCCCTCCACCCCCACTACCGCCGCTGCCACCTCCACCGCTCCCAGTGCCACCGCCGCCCCCACCACCACCTCCACCCCCACGACCACCCCCACCACCTCCACCTCCCCCGCCGCCTCCACCACCGCCTCCTCCACCGCCACCCCCACCTCCCCTGCCACCCTTGCCGCCCCTGGCGCTGCGGCGCTTCCCACGAGGAGCGGAAGCAGCCCCGACCTCCTCAGCACCAAGGTAGTCGAGAGCAGCAGCAGCGGAGGCGTAGGAGGGGGCAAGAGGGGAGGGGGAGCACCCCTCAAAGAGGGGAGTGCGAGGAGTGCCACGAGCAGCACCTACAGCGAGAATGTTCTTTTCGGGTGTTAGGAGGTGCTTCTCGAAGTCGTCGACAGTGAGAGTGGTAGGGTCTAGCGCGAGAAAGTGGTCCCTGACGGAGCGAAGAGTGTCAGGGAGGCGGGTGACGAGGAAGTAGAGAGTAAAGTACTGTACATCAGTGGTTGATTCTGGGAGAGGAACTCGTCTGAGAGGGCAGTACGAAAGCGAGTGTCGCTAGTGCGCAGGTGAGAGATGAGGTCCTCAGCAGTGGTAAACGAGGACAGGTCGGGGAACAGGTAGGGTAGCATAAGGCGACCTAGGGCTGCAGTGGCCGGGGAAGAGTAGCGGGCAACTACAGCGTCATACAGTGCCTTAGCAGTCTTGTGCTGGCTAAAATGCGCGCGCTCTGTGATCGGCAGATGGTTGCGAATAGCGAGGCGCGCAGCAGCATCTCGGGTCTGCCACTGTGAGCGGTCAAGAGCAGGAGCAGTTTCAGCAGGAGCAACGGCAGTGCCAGACGCGTAATCGAACAGTGAAACACCGTCCTTGGCATCAATCAGAAGAAACAGTTGAAGGTCGTCGAGCCAGGTGGTAAACTCTATCGGGCGACCGTCAAGATCGAAAGCAAGAACGTTAAGCGTCGCCATGATTGCAGTGCGGGCAAGAGTAGCGCGCAGGCGGCAAAGCAGAGTGCAGGCCAGGAGAAACTGCGTGCAAGGCTGCAGTGACGGCGCACGAGCTGCTGGGGCGGCGCGCAAGTGGCTAGGGCGGCGCACGGGGCAGCAGCAGGCCGCGCGCAGGCTCCTAAGGCGGCGCGCGGGGCAGCAGCGGGCCGCGCGCAGGCTCCTAAGGCGGCGCGCGGGGCAGCAGCGGGCCACGCGCGAGTTTCTAAGGTGGCGCGCGGGGCAGCAGCGGGCCGCGCGCGGGCTCCTAAGGCGGCGCGCGGGGCAGCAGCGGGCCGCGCGCGAGCTCCTAAGGCGGCGCGCGGGGCAGCAGCGGGCCGCGCGCGGGCTCCTAAGGCGGCGCGCGGGGCAGCAGCGGGCTGCGCGCGAGTTCCTAAGGCGGCGCGCGGGGCAGCAGCGGGCCGCACGCGGGCTCCTAAGGCGGCGCGCGGGGCAGCAACGGGCCGCACGCGAGCTCCTAAGGCGGCGCGCGGGGCAGCAGCGGGCCGCGCGCGGGCTCCTAAGGCGGCGCGCGGGGCAGTAGCGGGCCGCGCGCGAGCTCCTAAGGCGGCGCGCGGAAAAACAAAGGCAGCGCGCGCGGGCAGCGCAGCGCAGGCAAGGCAGGGCGCGCGCGTGAGGCGCAGCGCAGGCAAGGCAGGTGGGACAGCGTGGTAACTGCAGCGGTAGGTGGGCCCGAAACGAGACGGTCCTACGGACTTACTGCTCTGATACCATGTCTGAAATGCTAGGCAGGAATGGATGAACTAGGAAAGTGTTGGGTACAAGTATGCAACCCTAAAAGGGACTGTACCCCATATTGACTACCCCACTACAGCTTAAACATATATAGCATACATATAATTTGACACGTGTGTATTCCACGAGTTTCCACCGCATGTGGATGTGTGGTAAGATGTCGTGAATGCCTATCCTGTTACAGTATGTGAAGACAAGCTGTGATTGTGGCATGTGGGTTTCATGAGTTCCAAGCTAGAGCTGCAGGTCAGGATTCACAGATGAGACGCTGTGACACTCCCACCTCCGATGATCCCCATGTATGTTAGGTAGGTATAAAGCTAGAGTCAGGGCGTGTTCCTACGGCCTCTTATCAGGCGAACCTCTTGTCAGATTCGCGTCGCACCGCACTGAAACGCGCATAATAAAATTCGATCGCGTTGAATCGCATTGAACCGCACAAGTCTGACAAGAGGTCACCTGATAAGGGGCTGTAGGAACACGCCCTCAGGTACCTGTAACACTACCACATGTCAGCAACAGAGCAAATCGAGTCTCATCATCACCCTAAACCCATGTCCTTCAAATACTCGCCCCCCTCCCCCCCCTTCTTCCAGCACCCGCGCCCCTCATTTCGCCTCCTCCTGAGCAGCAATGCTCTGCCGGCTCTCCTTCACGTCTCCAAACAGCCGGCGCCGGAAATCCTCGACCATGAGGGGCAGGCCCTGGCGCAGCGCCACCTTGGGCTCCCACCCCAGCAGCTCCTTGGCGCGTGTGATGTCGGGCTTGCGCTTGTGCGGATCGTCTGCTGTGTTCTCCTGAAAGGCTATGCTGGCTGTCTTGTCTATCACCTCCCTCACCACCTGAGAGGGGCGAGGGGAGGGGAGGGGGGAGGGAAAGGGGAGGGAAAGGGGAGGGGAAGAGGGACGGGAAGGGAAGGGACGAGAGGAGAGGGGAGGAGAGGGGAATGGAGGGAGGCGTAGGGGGGTAAGGAGTTTGAGGCAAGATCGCCCTGGCGCAGAGCCACCTTGGGCTCCCAGCCCCGCAGCTCCTTGGCGCGTGTGATGTCAGGCTTGCGCTTGTGCGGATCGTCTGCTGTGTTCTCCTGAAAGGCTATGCTGGCTGTCTTGTTTATCACCTCCCTCACCACCTGGAGTTGGGAAGGAGGGGAGAGAGATGGGGGTGAGGGGAGGGGAAAGGGAAGGAGTGACAGAGAATAGGCTCATAGTGGGGAGCAAGGGGCAAGTCAATATTCTCCTGAAAGGTGATGCTTGCTGTCTTGTCTATCACCTCCCGCACCAACTGGTGGGGTTAGGGAAGAGCAGGAGGGGGAGCAGGAGCAGGAGGGGGAGGGGAGGTCAGGGAATGTGAGGAGAGTGGGAGGAGAGGGGCAAGGCCAGACGGCTGTGCATAGGACAGCTCAGGTACTGGAAGCATGGCGAGCTCACCTCAGGCAATTGGAGCTTGATGCTGTTTTGAAATTCTCACAAACCACAAAATCCTGAGCTCACGTCAGCAAGTTCAAGCATTGGGAAGCTCACCTCGGCCAGTTCAAGCATGGTGAATTCGCCGGGGTTCCCGAGGTTGAAGGGCCCCACGTGCTCCCCATCCATGAGGCGCATGAGTCCCTCCACCAGGTCGTCTATGTACTGGAAGGAGCGCGTCTGCTTGCCATCGCCATACACTGTCATCGCCTCCTTGCGCAGCGCCTGCAATGGGTATGGGGAAGCAGGTGCGAGAGAAGACAGTGTGTGGGTTCTGTCGCTGCGCATGCACCTGTGGCCGTACAGAGTCATCCACTCCTTGCTTACGGCCAGAAGGTCTGCTCCGAACGACCCACGCTCTCACCGACCCAGGCTACCAGCACCCATGCACCCATCCACACACCTGAGCCACGAAGTTGCTGACAACGCGCCCGTCGTCGATGCACATGCGCGGGCCATACGTGTTGAAGATGCGCGCAATGCGCACGTCCACGCCCGCACCCCGGTGGTAGTCCATCGTCAGAGTCTCTGCCACCCGCTTGCCCTCATCGTAACAGCTGCGCACCCCTGCACGAGGGCATATGGCGACGGGTGTGGCAACACAGCAGAGCATGTGGATGGTTTGAGAGATGTGATGACAATGAACAAGGCACATCCACCCCCGCCCCGCGGTGGTAGTCCATGGTCAGCATCTCTGCCACCCGCTTGCCGTCATCGTAGCAGCTGCGCACCCCTACATGCAGCCATATGATGGGTGGCAGCACAGTGGGGAGTGTGGATGGGGTGGGGGAGGAGGGACGGGGACATGTGAACACACAGACAAGGACGTGATGGGTCTGTTGTGGGAATCTAGTGGGGCAATGTGCTGTTAGTCCTAATCAATACTGAAGTCAGTCAGCTGGAAGCTGTAACCCGCCTCCCCATTCGATTACCCTTGCAGATGAGCGAGGTAGAATTGCCCACGCCCAGAATGCGCCATGAGCACCCCCCTTGGGAACTGACAGCTACATCGGCCCGATGATCTGAACCCGGCCTCACACCCTCCGTGAACCACTCAACAACAATGAACTAATCCCCTTCAGGGTCTAGTACTCACCGATAGGGTTGACGTTGCCCCAGAATTCCTCCGTCTGCGGGTGCTCCAGCGGATCCCCATACACCTCGCTCGTGCTCGTCAGCAGGAAGCGTTTGAGTCCATTCAAAACTTACTGATGGACTTTGGGTCCACACAACACGTAACGTACCGATGGGGTTGACGTTGCCCCAGTATTCCTCCGTCTGCGGGTGCTCCAGCGGATCCCCATACACCTCGCTCATGCTCGTCAGCAGGAAGCGTTTGAGTCCATTCAAAACTTACTGATGGACTTTGGGTCCACACAACACGTAACGTACCGATGGGGTTGACGTTGCCCCAGTATTCCTCCGTCTGCGGGTGCTCCAGCGGATCCCCATACACCTCGCTCGTGCTCGTCAGCAGGAAGCGTTTGAGTCCAACTTACTGATGGACTTTGGGTCCACACAACACGTAACGTACCGATGGGGTTGACGTTGCCCCAGTATTCCTCCGTCTGCGGGTGCTCCAGCGGATCTCCATACACCTCGCTCGTGCTCGTCAACAGGAACCGCGCCCCCACTCGCTTCGCCAGCCCCAGCATATTCATCGTCCCCGCCACATTCGTCTTAATCGTCTTAATGGGATTATGCTTATAGTGAACGGGCGAGGCGGGGCACGCGAGATGGTAGATCTGGTCGACCTCGAGCAGGAGTCCTTCCACCACGTCATGCCGGATGAGCTCGAAGCGCGGGTTGCCGAAGTGGTGCTGCACGTTCTCCTTGCGCCCCGTGAAGAAGTTGTCCACCACGATCACGTGGTCGCCGCGCTCCATCAGCCGGTCCACCAGGTGACTGCCCACAAACCCCGCCCCGCCTGGCGTGTGGGTGAGAGGGGTGGGGCGGAGTTGGGTGGAAGGGAGAGGGTGGAATAGAGGGCAGGGGGCAGGGGAGACAGGAGGAGAAGAAATTGTCCACCAAAATCACGTGGTCGCCCCGCTCCATCAGCCTGTCCACCAGATGCGACCCCACGAACCCCGCCCCGCCTAGCGTGTGGGTGAGATGGGTGGGATGGAGAGGGGTGGAATTTAGAGGTCAGAGCAGGGAGGAAAGGGTGGAGTAAGAAGAAACGGGGCAAAGACACGTGGTCTCCCCGCTCCATCAGCTCAGCCTGCCAACCAGATGGCTTGCATGTGAGACGGGTGCAATGAAGAGGGTTGGAATATAGAGGACAGAGGGAGGGAAGGGAGGGGGATAAGAAGCTGTCCACCAGAATCACGTGGTTCAAACGAGTAGAAAACTGGGGAGATATGAACACTGGGGAGAGCTGGTGAGATGTGATGCTGGTGAGCAAGGGAGGAGAGCGAGCAGCAAGGGACGGAGGGGACGCAGGAGGGTGACTGTTACAGTTGGTCCACGCGCTCAACAGATAGTTCTGTCAGCAATCACTCCGTCCACAATCACTCCGACCGCAATCATTCCGTCCACATCCGCAAGCATTTCGTTCTGTCCATTTACGATGGACACACGCTGCCTCGTGCAACAATCTGACGCCAAGAAGAACGCGGTCGGGCTTCCAACCCTCGCGTACTCTCTTTCACCCGTGCAATAAACTACTAACTAACCATCTCAATTCCCAATTATAACTCTGGCTCTAGAGCGTCTTATTACTCGGGTTCCGAAACCCATGGAACAGGCATGGTTCGACTAGCAACCTTTAATAACTACGCTTATAGTGCGAAGCACGTCTTATTACTCCGGTTCCGAAACCCATACCCATGAACAGGCGTAGGTCGACTAACAAACCTTGAAACTTCGTACGAACTATGCTTCTATCGTGAAGCGCGAGACCGTTTCGAGCTCGATTACCCCACACCCATGACCGCAATTCTCACCAGTAACGACGATTCGCAGCGGCGTGCGGCGAACCCCGAGAGGAATTTTCCCCATGAAGCGATGATCCGGGGTCTTCGCATGGTAGAGGCTCACGGCAGAGCTGATTAGACATGACAGGCATCGATACGAGGAACAGAGAAGCAACAAAAAAGAAGTTAAGTACTAATTTATAGCAGGAACGCGACGAGGAGGAACAGCGGGAGACGCATTAGGTCACGGTGGATCTCGATCCGTCATGAGGACAGCAGACACGAGTCACGGACTCGACGAAAAAAACGAAATTGACGATTAAAAACACATTGCTCGACTAAGACTTGGAGATAGTAACGAGAGGATTGGTCAAGGAAGGGGCCAGGAATAGGGGTGTGTACGAATGACAAACGCCTCGCAAGTGGATGGGATGTTCGATGCTAACCTCTGAACGCCAGAGAAGATCGCATGGCTGTCGCCGACGGTCGACGACGCCGTATCTAGCGGCGACGGTCGCGGATAGCCGGTCGGCAGAATCGTGAAGACGGCCGACGCTACGAGGAAGCCGACGAGGAGGTACGCTCCTTGGAAATGCTCGCCGAGCAGCTGAATGTACCACGGGCGACTGCGACGACCGTGCGACTTGGACGGCGAACTAGGCGATAACGTAGGTGGTCTCCGCTCCATTTTACCGGCAACTCCCGGAAATACTAAAATCCCCTGATTTCAAGGTCCAACCGACAGCTGAACGGACGACAGGAAAAAGTTAAAGACACTCCAAACCCGACGACCTAAAATAGACGCCCGAGTCTAGATGCCTACGGCTACCTGCGTTTGCTGAATGCAATTGGGAGGAGCAAGCAGCAATTCCTGCCAGTCCAAAAACAAGACCAATGCTAGAACAGAAAGCGGCACTGACTGGTGGTGGTGACACACACCCCCTGAGCTGAAGGACCAAACCGAAGCGAGTACTGACCTTGGTTTGAGCGAGTCACTGACGTAGTGACCTTGGTTTGAGCGAGTCACTGGCCTTGATTTGAGCGAGACGGGGAGACCACCAAACTCCACAGCACACCAGACCAGAGACGGCGAACACCGAACTGAAACCGATTGGTTGGGCGTCCTTCGCACTGGGGGCACCGCAGGTGGTTTGCCCTGGTTGGACACCAACGAACCTGCTCCGTGCTGGTTCCACGTGAGGATGGTTCGGTTTGGCGCACGCACAACGACCTTCGCCTCGAAAGGCGGTAACGGGATTCACACAGCCAATCAGCAGCGCCCAGATGTTGTTGCCTCAACACCTAGCAAACCTCGTTAGCCATGCATCGTTAAGCACCGAAAGAGTACAGCTTGCTGTGGTACAGAGTAAACAGGAAACTGGTAAATGACGCATTTATCAGCAATTTCAATGAGCTTCTTACGTAACAAAGTTTAGCCAATGTGACCTCCTAAAAAAATGTTATGCGCTCATCCCACGCCTTGAGAACAAATGGTACCACGCATGCTCATTCGTTGCTTACCTATTGTAAGCATCTAGAGTCTAGAGTACACTATCATAACACTACTTGCTACCACCAAACCACCTGCGTGTGGTAGTGGTAGAGCTACTAAGAGGAGGGATTACAGGCCCATTTGGTGAAGCTCCATGACTGGGGAGCTGCTGCTGTGTCACCTTAGGGGCCTGCTGTGCCTTCACTGCTGTACCGCTGACAGGAGAAGGGCCCATGCATGGCACTGCACCAGTACCAGCTACACCTGCTGGAGCAGTTGGACCTCCAACAAATCCCTGTCGTGCATTCATGGCAGATGACGACGTCAGCACTCCTCCAACCCCCACCTGTGCTGCTACTGCCTTACCACCTCCCTGACTCCCTCCCACACTCCCTGCTGGTCCTCCTGCCCCTGGGCCACCCACAACTCCCACTCCTCCCCTCACTACTGCAACCCCTGCTCCTGACCCTTGTCCCACCGCATCACTCCCCTGTGCACCACCAGAACCACCAGCAGCAGCACCAGCCGCACCAGCAGCACCACCACCACAACCAGCAGCAGCAGCAGCAGCGGCACTAGCAGCAGCTGCAGCAGCCTTGGCCTCCAGCTTCCTCCGTGCAACCATAGCAGCAGCGCTGCCTCTACTGGGCCCTGCAAAGAACATGCTCCCCACCGGCCCTCGAGCCGGCAGCGGGGAGGCATAGCGCGACGAAGTGCTGGCTTTGTCAGGCGTGCCGACGCCGGCAGGGCTGGCAGAGCCAGCAGCATTGGGGGACATTGGAGCAGCATGCCTTGGGCTGCCCAAGGGACAGAAGGGGACGGGGGAAACGCAGCGATTTGGGCTGCCAATGTAGCCAGCAGGGGCAGGGGCGAGCGACCCTGCTGGTGCTTGAGGAGTGTGGTAGGCAGCAGGGACGAATGGTGCTGCTCCTGCTGGTGGTGGAGTGTGATAGGCAGGAGGGGTGCGTGCAGGGCTGCGGTTGGGTCCCGAGACAAAGGGCATGGCAGCAGTGGCGTGGGGTGAGGGCGATCGGGGTGGGCTGGGGCTGGGCCCTGCAATGAATGGCTGCCGATTCTCCTGCTGGAGCCATGGCCGATTGCGGTATGGGCTCTGCTGCTGCTGCTGCTGCTGCTGCTGCAGTTGCTGCTGTTGCTGCTGGTGAAGTGGCACTGGCTGCACGTACTGCTGTGCGTGGTAACCAGGCTGCTGCAGATTGCCTGTCACAGCAGTTTGGTTCGTGCTGCCACGCATTGCGTGCGCCGTTCCTTGTTGTGTCGGGTGGGGAGGTGTGGAAGGAGAAAGCGACACACCACCATGCATACTGGAAGAATGAAATGGATGCAATCCCCCATGCATCACCGCTTGTTGTGTCGGATGTTGAGGGGTGGGCGGACATGGAGCCATGCCACCATGCCTCGGACTCACAGGAGTATGAAACGGTGCAGTGGGGTGCGTAGGGTGTGCAGGGCCAGGGGAGGCATGAGGCAGGGTAGACGGATGGGCAGGGCTGCGCGGCGCAAGACAGGAGGGGCCCACAGTGGGGCTGCGGGGTGCAGCGGGAGAGGGTCCCACAGTGGGGCTGCGAGCAGCACCAGAGAGCGAGGACGCCAGGGGGTGCATGGGGCTGGCATTGGGAGAGCCCCCCATGGCGAACTGCAGCACGTGGAAGGAGCGCGGGGAGGGCGGCGGGGAGAGAGACGCGGCAGCAGCACCCACAGCTGAGACACGGGGAGACGTGGGGTTGGACCTGGGAGGAGGGAGAGCAGGGTTGGCAGAGGTGCCTGGAGGTGCGCGTGGGGAGAGAGGCGGGGTGGAGGTGCTGGTGGCAGCGCTGCTGGGGGCGAGTGAGTGGAGGAAGGGGTTGGAGGGGGGCGGATGGCGGGGTGATGCGTCAGCAGACCCAGAGGAGTATCTGGAGGCAGTAGCAGCAGCAGCAGCAGTAAGAGGAGGAGGAGCAGCAGAAGGAGAAGGTGCAGGGAAGCTATTGGGGTTTGTCTGATGAAACAAATTTCTCTCAAATTTCCCTGCAGAACCCACCCCCTGCTGCTGCTGCTGCTGCTGTGCATGTGTCCTGGCATCACCTTGAGCCACCGGCGCTGCCATTCTCAGCGGGCTCACATTCCTCTCGCCAAACAACGGCCGGCTGAACGGCTGATGCACGCCACTGCCACCCCCCCCTGCCGCCTGCCCCTTGCTATCTGCTGCAAGCTTCTGTTGCTGCATCTGCTCCTCCCTTTCCCGCCTCTTCGCCACCCACTCTGGCCCAAACGCCAGAGTCTGCAGAAACTGTTGATGCTGCACCATTGGGGAGTGCTGTGACTGGTGCGAGGCAGACACTGACACCTGCTGCTGCTGCTGTCCTGGAGCCGCCTGCTTGCTCCCTGCTGCACCCACTCCTCTTCCTCCCGCTCCGCCCGCCCCTCCCTTCCCGAAGCTGCTACCGGAGCTGCTCCATTCCTCGCCAGTCTCCGACCCTCCCACAGCCGATTCCGCTCCATTAGACTGCCCCGCCACTGCTCCCCCGGCTGCTACTACCCCTCCAACTCCCTTCGCTCCGACAGTTGACACTCGCTTCACACCTCCAGCACCGGCAGCAGCTGCTGCTACTGCAGAGGCCGAAGCAGAGGCGGCAGCAGAGGCAGACGCAGAAGCTGAAGCAGAACCACCACGCTTTGCAGCGGATGCAGCTACAGACTGCCTTCCCACTGCCGTGGCCTTACCTTCTTGCCTCTTCCACCCCATTCTCTGCCCTGCTGCTGGGCTCTTCTGTGCCACACTGTCAGGCTTCCTCGCACTGGGGTGGGGCCTCGCCCCCGGGCTGTGCCTCACACTGTTGCTCACCGCCATGCTGCACGAGCCACAGCTCTCCTCCACCTCCCCCGCTGCCCCCCCCTGCACGCCCCCTCCTCCTGCTCCCACGCCATCTCCCATCTCCACCATACCTCCCGTTCCTACCCCACCCTTTGTCCCGCTCACACTTCTCCTCGTTGCTGCTCCTGTCACTGCACATGTCCTTCCCACTGCCCTTGCGGTACCACCCATGCCTGTGGTGCCGCGCTGTGCCTTCTGCTGTGCCACCGGAACAGCAGCAGGAGCACGAGGGGTAGCAGCAGCAGCAGCAGGGGCAGCAGGAGGAGCAGCAGAGGCAGCAGGAGGAGCAGCGGCAGCAGCAGCAACAGCAGGAGGTGTGGCATTCTGAGCAGCAGAGCCCAATCCCTTTCTCGTGGAGAGCTTGAATGGCAGACGAGGCATGGCAGGAACCGGCGCAGCAAGTGGGCTCTGCCTCTCCCTCACACCTGGGTGCGCCTGTGCAGCGTGCACATTGGCTATGCCTGTGGGGCTACCTGATGGGCCCCTTGCGGGAGCACCTGGGGGGGCACCTGCAGGGGCACCTGGGGGAGTGGGAGGGGTGCGCTGCAGGGCAGTGTGAGGGTGAGACTGAGCACCCACGTGGGCGGGTTTGTTCTCCACGTGGTTGGCCCTGCTGTTGACACGGCTGTCCCTGCCCTCCACACGCGCTCCTCTACTCCCCATCGCGGTCCCGACCACACTGCTCACATGCCAGTGCTGCCCTGCCACGCTGCCACCTGCTGCCACGCCAGTGGTACGCATCGCGTTTCCCTTGGTGGGATGAGCCATGGGGTTGTTGGCAACGATAGGATTAGCAGCAGCAGCAGCTGTGCTTTCAGCAGCCTCTACAGCTGCAGATTCTTCCACAGGGACCAGATAAGCAACAGGGGTGCCAGATACAACACCAGTAGCAGCGATGGCAGCACCAGCACCAGCGCTGGCACTGGCAGTAGCAGCACTGGTGCTCTGGCTGGCTTTTAGCGTGGAGTGGAACATGTCGGTAGAGGCAGACGTGCCACCGCACTCCTCTTGTACTGAAGGGTCTGAGCGTGTGTCAGCATCAAGGTTGCACTCACTCACCACATCGTTTTTTCCCTCTCCCCCCTGCTTATCATTCTCCTGCTTGTCCTCCTGCTTTTCCTCCTCTTGATTCTCCTCCCCCTGCTTCTCCTGCTTCTCCTCCTGCTCTCGCCTCTCCACATCCACTCCTCCTTCCCCACGACTTCTAATACCCATGCCATCCGCGCTCCCCATTCCATCTCCATCCACCCCCTCCCCCACAGCCACACCCTCCGCCCCTTCCCCCGCCGGACCAGCATCCGCCCTCTCAACGGCTGCCAGGGCGGCGGCTGCAAGCTGGGCGGCTTGGGCGCGCTCTAGGCTGCGGCGGAGAGAGCTTTTCAGCCATGGGCGGTCGGGCAGGGGAATGGTGGGGGACGACGGGCGGCTGGCATGCGCGGAGGTGGGGGAAGACGGGCGGCTGTGATGGGCGGAGCTGGGGGAAGATGGGCGGCTATGATGGGCGGAGAAAGCAGTGGGGGAGGAGGGGTGGGAGGAGTAGGGGCCAGGAGCGGCCGGGCGAGTGGGGTCGTTGGGGGAAGGAGGACGGATGGGGAAGGAGGAGGGGGAGGCTGGGCGGTTGATTAGAAGGGAGGTTAGTAGGAGGGCAGGGGAGGAGGCAGAGGGAACCAGGCGGCGCACAGGGGGGCGGAAGGGGTTGATTTCACCTGCTGCGGCTGTAGTAGCAGTGGCAGTGACAGGGCCAGGGGCAGTGGCAGCATTGGCGTTTTCAGCAGCGTCAACAGCAGCAGCAGCAGCGACCGCGGCAGCAGCTGTGGAGGAGGTGGGGACGGCGGGAGCAGTGAGGAGGGGGTTATCCAGCAGGCTGAGCGACGGACTGGCAGTGAATGGCCGGATCACATGCCTCCGTGACACAGCAGGCGTCAACCTGCTGATGCTATTGCCTGGCTGGCTGCTACCTGGCTGGTTGCTACCAAAGCCCACAACCCCAGAGGCAGTACCCCAGGCGCTAATCTCCTCAAACACGTCCTCTCCCTGCCTCCTCCCCTTCCATTCCTCGTGCTCCTGACTTGCGAGGTCAACCCCAAAGGCGGCTCCCCATGCGCGCGCTGCTGCTGCTGCTGCCTCCGCAGATGCTTCTTCGACTCCCTCACTGGACTCCTGTGAACCCTGCAGCGCAACCTCACGCGCTGCCTCTGCGTCGCTGGAGCACTCCTCCTGCGCGCCCTCGCACTCCTCTGTCACCTCGTCCGAACTCGCTGGCTCGTCCCCGCTTGCACCTCCGCTTCTCACTTCCTCCTCCTCCTCATCCTTCACCCCCTCAACATCCTCCTTGTCTTTTGCCTCTTCTTCCTCGAATGCAGTCACTCCCTTCTCATCTGCGCTTCCATCCATGCCTAGTGCATCGTCTTCACATTCTGATGCTTTACCCTCCTCTTCCCCAATTTGTCTCTCCTCACTCTTAGAACTTCCACTCTCCTCCCTCTCGCGTCTCTCCCCCTTCTCATCCCCGCCTGCTTCCAACTTCCACCCCTCTGCACCGCTGCTCACCTCGCTCCCCTCTGCACCCTCATCTTCAACGCCCTCTCTCCCACCATCCTCGCCTCCGCTACTCGCACAGCTCGCTGTCAACCTTTCCCCAGAGCACCCGCCCTGGCCACCAGGAGCAAAGGCAACGCCTTCCTGCGGCCAGGTCTCGCAGTCTCTCCCACCAGCCGCCTGCTCAACCTCCTCCTGCCTCTCCTCAACCTCCGCCTTTCTGCTCTTGCCAGCTGCAGCTCCAGCAGACGTAGCCTCATCTGCTGCTCCAGCTGCTGTTGGTTTCCCTCCCGCGCCACGGCTAGGGACGGCGGAGGGGAGAGGGCGCGGAGGGGAGAGGAGGGACGTGCAGAAGGAGGAAATGGCAGCTGGCGTTGAGTGGAGCGCGTGGGGGGGAATTGCGAGTGGCTGAGAAGAGAACGCAGTGCCACGCGCACCAGCGCTAACATCATCGCTTCCACTCTCCTCCTCCCTCTCCCCCGCTCCCTTCGCCCTGTCCCATTCTCGTCCAGCCGCCACTCCCTCCCCTCCCACCATCTCAATAAACACACGCTCCGCCTCATCCTTACTCTCATCCTCGTTCTCTTCCTCGTTCTCTTCCTCGTTCTCTTCCTCGTTCTCATCCTCGTTCTCTTCCTCGTTCTCATCCTCGTTCTCTTCCTCGTTCTCATCCTCGTTCTCTTCCTCGTTCTCATCCTCATGCCCATCCTCGCTTCTGTCCCCATCCCCATCCCCATTCCCATTCCCATCCCCATTCCCATCCGCATCCCCATTCCCATCCTCATTCCCATCCTCATTCCCATTCCTATCCTCCTCATTGGAGGGGTGCTGCCTCGTACCACTGCCATATACAGAGAAAAGCTCCCCTTCCTCCTCTTCTACCTCCATCCATTCCTCCTTTTCCCTCTCCTCCCCTCCCTCCTCTTCTACCTCCATCCATTCCTCCTTTTCCCTCTCCTCCCCTCCCTCCTGCCTTCCCTCTTCCCACTCTCCAGCCCTCCCTCCACCTGTCTCGCTAAACCCCAATGCGTCGAGCCATGCACGGTCGAACTTTCCCTCTTCCCTCTCCCTCCCTGCCATCTCACACCCCTTGCTCCTCTCCCCTTCACTGCTCCCACCTGTCTCTCTAACGCCCACTGCGTCGAGCCACTCCCGGTCGAGCGTTCCTTCCTCCCCATCCACATCCTCTATCCCAAACCCCTTGCTCAGCACTCGCTCACTGCTCTCACCATCGCTCCTGCTCTCTGCACCGGCCACCGTAGCACTGTACCGCTCGTTATAGTCACGTTTGTGTGCAGCCACACCAGCAGCACCCGAGAGACTGCTATCTCCTCCGTCCATCACATTCCTCTCGGTCGCTGGTACCTCCTCTGACGGCCCAGATTTCACTGCCGGTCCAGATTCGGCTGACGGGCGAGATTCAGCTGACGCCGTAGTTTTGATTGAAGGATCAGTTTTAACGAAAGTTTCATCTTCAGCTGACGGCCTAGATTCAGCTGACAATTCAGATCCAGCTGACGCTCTGGATTCAGCTGACCACATCGAGTCAGTCGACGGCCCGGATTCATCCGACGGCCGTGATTCACCTGACTGGCAGCACTCCTCGAGATCGATCACATGGGTGGCGCTGGCAGGCGCCGTCTCTTGGCTGGAGCACGCGGGTGAGCGAGTGATGGAGTTTGAGAGAGCTGTGGTGGCGGCTTGTGGGGCAGACGGCGATGATGACCCAATGAGCTGCGCTGTTGGTGGTGCCAGTGACATAGTGTGTTGGATTTTATCCTCAACAGCCCTGTTGCAGTCTGACATGACTCCCCCACCACCACCACCACCACCTGCATTGGCAGCAGCAGCAGCAGAAAAAGGAGGGTGGCCAAGAGCAGCACCGGCAGAAGAAGCACCTGCAGCAACAACAGCAAATGGAGCACCAGCAGCGATGCACAAACCAGCGCCAGCTCCAGCAACTGGAGCAGCAGGAGCAGCAGCAGCAGCAGCGGCACCACTGTTAGAAGGCGGAGGAGTGAGGGGGCGGGAGGCGGTGAGGAAACGCGTGGGCTTGCGAACGCGCGGAGATAGGCGGCGCTTGATGGAGGAGAGGTTACTGTGCAGAGAGGGCACGGCGGGCAGCTGCATGGGCGGCTGTAGTTGGTGATACTCGTGCTGCTGCGCCCACTCCGCCATCACCATGCCGCCCTGCTGCTGCCCGCCCGTCTGCCTGAATGAGGCGGCATCGTTTGGCTGTTGCATGACAAACTGGGGAGATTCCGGTAGTGCGTGGTGCTGCGGAGTGGGTTGGGGCGTTTCTTGCAGGGTTTCGTGTGAGAGGGCCGGCGAGGGCGAGGGGACGGACGGCGAGAGAACGGAGGGCGGAGGTGTGGAGGGGGCAGGCAAGGCGGTGGGAGCATGGAGCAGGGATGCATGCAGTTCAAACTCCCCTTCCAACTCCCTTCCCTCATCACTCCCATCCGCTTCCTGGCCGCACATCTCTTTCGTATCGCCCCCCTCATCCTCCTCGCCTCCCCATTCCTCCTCTCCCTTCTCCTCCTCCTCCTCTTCCTCCTCCTCCTCCTCCCCCTCCTCTCCCTCTTCCTCCTCCAGTACCAGCCATCTCAAGCGCAAGCTTCCCCCGCCCGCACTCCCCTCCATCTCCGTTCCTTCCGCCGCGCCACCCCCGCCCCACAGCGTGCGCCCCCCTCCCTCATTCCCCACGGGGACGTAATCGCCCCACCGCTTCCTGCTCCTTCTCCCGCTGCCACCCTCGTCATGACTTTCCGCAATCTCCGCAGGATCCGCCACGTCAGCACCGCTCACATCAACATCCAGCTTCCCAGAATCCAGCTCATCTCCCCCCAAGCCCCTCTCCGCGCCGTCCGCTTCCCCCACTTCCCCTGCGCCCCCCGAATACATTCCCCCGCCCATCGCCCCACCGTCCGCAGCGGCGGAATCGCTTTCCGCCAGCTCAGCGGGATCCAGGCGGCGGGTGCTGCCTACGGCGGGAATGACGCTGGAGCGGGAATCGCTCGTGCGAGTGTCGCTGGTGGGGGAGTCGCCGGAATCGTCGCCGGACGAGCTCGAATTGATCATGGCGATGGAATCGGCGGGCGTGGAGTGCGCGAGCGAGTCGCTCGACGAACCAGACGGGGAGGACGAGACGGCGGGGGGGACGGGAGACGGCAGAGCGGACAGGGGCGCGCCGCCCTGCGCGTTCGTGTCCGCACGCCCTTCCGCCTTGGCGCTGTGCGCCTTCGCGGCGAGTGAATCGGTTCGAATGGCTGCAGAGGTAGCTTCAGCGAGAGAATCAGTGGCAACAGCATCTCCAGAAGCATCGGCTTGAAGCGCAGCCTCGTCCTGTTCGGACTCCCGGTTCGTCTTCCCAGCTCGCGCGCCTGCCATGCCCGTGAGGTGCGACCGCCCGCTCATGGCCATGAGCGACTCGAGATCCACTGGCGCGTCGCTCTTATCCGCCGCCTCGTCCGCATCACTGTGCTCCTCATCCCCGCTATCATACTCTTCGTCGTCATACACGTGCTCCTCGCCGCCCTCGTGCTCGCCGTCCTCGTCCCCGTTACATCGCTCACCGACACTGCCACAAGGGTCACAGTCAACTACACCCCTCCCCGCACCCCCGCCGTGCATCATCCCATCACCACCCACACCCTCCCCCGTCTCCTTCCCTTGTGCAGAACCACCACCACCCTCCATCTCTCCTGACCACCCAATTTCCCCCGACGGCCTCTCCTCTCCCGGCCGGCCAACCTGCATGGGGCTCGCCGCGTGGCCGGCGGGTTTGTCGGCGCCGTCCATATCTCTCAGGAACGCCGCAAGAATGCGCCGCTTCGACTCCTCCACCTCCGGCCCCACCCGCTCCTTTGGTTTCCTCACCGCCTTGCTCCTCCCACTCACGCCCAGCGCTCCCTTGTCACTCGTGATCAAGTCAGCTGCTGCCACGTGTCCTTTGCCTTCCTCTGCCACGTGTCCATCTTTAGACACGTGTCTTTTGCGTTGTTCTATTTCATGTTCGTCGCGTTCCGCCGCCACGTGTCCCCGCACCTCCTGAGCCACCTCCTCTGACCCTTCGCTCGCCGCACTACCACCGAAATGCAGCGAGCTGGCGTACGTACCAGCAACCTCGCTATAAGCACGCGCCACCGCCTCTCTAACAGACGGATCCGCCGTGCGAGCATACGGTACGGACGGCTGTGCGCCGTGGGTGCTCACGTTCCTCCCGCTGACGAGCACGGGCGGTCCTGCTGCTGCTGCTGCTCCACCTCCCTCCTTCCTGTGTTGATTATGCAACACCTGATGCCCCTGATGCTGATATTGATGCTGTTGTTGCAGCAGTCGCTGCTCCTGCTGCTGCGGCTGCTTCTGTGGCGTCTGCGCATTCTCGTGTCGTCGCGCAGGGCTGCAGCGCCGAATCAGCCCTCCGAACAGCCGAGAAGTGCGCGTTTTCTCCTGCGGCTGGCTCGAACTCTTGCTCTGGTTACATGTCTCGTTCCGAGGCTCGGCGTGAGGCTCGTTGTGGAAGGATGCGTCATTGTCGCACAGAGAAGGTTTGCTGCTGAACAGGGAGAAATACCGAGACACGAGAAAGAGGAACTGGATGGTGAGGGGAAGACGGGAAGGCGAACCGAACGCTGGACAGACGAAGAAGGAACGGCGAAGGGGGAAGGAGGAAGTGAAATGCATGGACCGGTGGAGTTAGTAGCTGCTGCGTACGCGAGAAAAGAGTGAGAAACGGAACGGGTGGGATACTGAAGGGAATGGGAAAGGCCGACCTTGGTGCGGGGTTGCGAGCAGCTGAGGCGTGGAGGCGAGCCCTGATTCTCGCGACCAGCATCGACGTCTGTTCATGGCCGTGGAGAACAGAAAAGCGGCGGGGGTTGGACGAAGAGACGACGGGTGGAGGGTGCGTGACAAGGTTAATAAGGGTGGAGTTATATGGTGACAACGGGAGGATGCGAAAGATAACAGGTTGAGGGCGTGTTGTTTCAAAAGCAAATCCTCGTTGCTAATGAAGTGAACTGATCTGTGACAACGGAAACGAGCACTACGTGGAAAGCACGGCGGAAAACAGAACACGCAGCAACAGCCGTGTGTTAGGCAACAGATCGACCACCCACCGTCGCTGCTCGGCTGCTGACGCCGAGTTGGCGACACAGCCGCTTGATCTCCTCTCGGGATTTGTCCTCTAAATTATCCTGAAAGGCTGCCGTCGAGGCCGCGTCCATGGCCGCGTATATTAGTTCTAAGCTGGTCACGCTCACTGATCACCCTCTTAATCACGGTCCTAATGCATAATTTAACTGGTCGGCGAAATAATCAACGTTGCGTTGATTGGGTGGAGTCTAATGCTGGCGTGAGTTCAGAATGGCCGACACCTGTCACAGCAGTGTCGTTCTGAGGTACGCGCCTCGGTCCAATAGGATCAACCAGTAACTAAGACCGAGCAACAACTCACTACATAGTAGGCATGCGAACAACTTAAAAGTACAATGTGGGGATCAGTGTCTTGAAACGGTGACAACTGCTCCACAACATCTGCAGTGCTGGGGTGCCATGAGAGAGACACCAGCCTGAAAGAAGAATGGAGAGCACACGCATGCACTGCTCATGGGGTTATGGTAGTGGCAGAAGCCGCTACCAATACAGAACAGAAAAAACAGCTGTGATGGTGGTGTTCCATCCATAGCATTCGCTTCCTGCTCTCTCCCGTCCCGTTTCCTACAGATGATGTTTGTGCCTGCTGCTGCCGATGTTCTCAAGGAGCATCGGATGCGAAGCAGGCGCCATTCCGCGACAGGCGCGCAAAGCGCCTGAGGGATGCAGTGTCCTTCCCTTCTCGCCCCGCCTCACATAACTGGTCAAAATCGACAATCTTGGTAACATCGTGACCGTAGATTGAGGCTTCGAGCCTATACATCTTGTGGTAGAATTTGCGGGAAACTCCCATGGTCGAGTCGTCAGAGGGCCTCGCTTCGGTCGCAAATCGTCAGAGCTCCGTTCGCGAACCGCGCGTTCTGGTGTCCCGCCAATGGCGTTCAAGCAACACCTCCCTTTGAAAAGTACTCATTATCTCACTTGCACAGTTCAACATTTCTTGTAGGGCACGCATGAATCGATATGCTAAAGGTGTGAATAAATTGTAAGCGCTTCCTTAGCATTTGTCGGCAGACACAGCCGTAATCGCAGGAGCCGAACTTTTCTGTGCGCGCGAACCTAGTGAAAGTGCTGAGGTAGGTGTATTTGAGCATGGGCCACTCGAATATGCAACAACGTTCAAGTCGTTCGATGCTTTTCCCTACGCCTACAAGGATGCACGCGCTTCCTTGGCATTTGTCGGCAGACACTGCCGTCATCGCAGACGCCGAACTTTTCTCTGTGCGCAAACAAAGCTGAAAGTGCTCAGGCAGGTGTATCTAAAAGTGCATTGGTATGTGTATTTGAGCATGGGCCACCTGAAGATGCAACAACATTCAAGTCGTTCGATGCTTTTCCCTACATGTATAAGGATGCATGCGCTTCCTTAGCATTTGTCGGCAGACACTGCCGTCATCGCAGGCGCCGAACTTTTCTGTGCGCACGAACCAAGCTGAAAGTGCTCAGGCAGGTGTATCTGAGCATGGGCCAACCGAATATGCAACAACGTTCAGGTCGTTCGATGCTTTTCTCTATGCCTATAGGGATGCATGCGCTTCCTTAAATTTTCTCAGCACACAGAGCCGTCTTCGCAGGCGCCGAACTTTTTTGTGCACGCAAACCAAGCTAAAAGTGCTCAGGTAGGTGTATTTGAGCGTGGGCCACCCGAATACGCAACAACGTTAAGAGCGTCCGCTGCACTTCCTGCACATGCGATGGCCGATGATGCTCACTTCCACGCCCTTGCTGGCTTGGCAATAAGCCCAAACAAGCGCAGCCACGTGACCCGGCGGAAGAAAAACGCTCAGAACGAGCGCTTCCAGCCCCAAAACGCGGAAGGATCCGCGCATGTGCAGGAAGTGCAGCGGGCGCTCTTCATTCGCGAGCGCTGATGACTGATGATGCTCGCAACCCTCCCATACCATTGCTAGCTTGGCAATAGGCCCAGACAAGCGCAGCCACGTGACCCTCCGGAAGAAAAACGCTCGGGACGAGCGCTTCCAGCCCCAAAACGGAGAAGGATCCACACATGTGCAGGAAGTGAAGCGGGCGCTCTTCATTCGCGAGCGCCGATGACAGATGATGCTCGCAACCCTCCCACACCCTTGCTGGCTTGGCAATAGACTCAGACAAGCGCAGCCACGTGACCCGTCGGAAGAAAAACGCTCGGAACGAGCGCTTCCAGCCCCAAAACGCGGAAGGATCCGCACATGCTCACGAAGTGCAGCAGGCGCTCTTCATTCGCGAGCGCCGATGACTGATGATATTCGCAACCCTTCCACACCATTGCTAGCTTGGCAATAGGCCCAGACGAGCGCATCCACATGACCCGGCGGAACAAAAACGCTCGGAACGAGCGGTTCCAGCCCCAAAACGCGGAAGGATCCGCATATGTGTAGGAAGTGCAGCGGGCGCTCTTCATCCGCGAGCGCTGATGACCGATGATGCTCGCAACCTTCCCACGCCCTTGCTGGCTTGGTAATAGGCCCAAACAAGCGCAGCCACGTGACGTGGGGGAAGAAAAACGCTCGGAACGAGCTCTTCCACCCCCAAAATGCGGAAGGAGCCGCACACGTGCAGGAAGTGCAGGGGGCGCTCTTCATTCGCGAGCTCCGATGACCGATGATGCTTGCGACCCTCCCACGCCCTAGCTGGCTTGGTAATAGGACCGGACAAGCGCAGCCACGTGACCCGGCGGAAGAAAAACGCTCGGAACGAGCGCTTCCAGCAGCCCCAAAACGCGGAAGGAGCCGCGCACTTGCAGGAAGTGTAGCGGGCGCTCTTCATTCGCGAGCGCCGATGACCGATGATGCTTCCCACCCTCCCACGCCCTTGCTAGCTTGGTAATAGGACCAGACAAGTGCAGCCACATGACCCGGTGGAAGAAAAACGCTCCGAACGAGCGCTTCCACCCCCAAAACGCGGAACGATCCGCGCATGTGCAGGAAGTGCAGCGTGCGCTCTTCATTCGCGAGCATCGATGACCGATGATGCTTGCAACCCTCCCACGCCATTGCTGGCTTGGTAATAGGACCAGACAAGGTCAGCCACGTGACCCGGCGGAAGAAAAACGCTCCGAACGAACGCTTCCACCCCCAAAACGCGGAAGGAGCCGAACATGTGCAGGAAGTGCAGCGGGCGCTCTTCATTCGCGAGCGCCGATGACCGATGATGCTTGCGACCCTCCCACGCCCTTGCTGGATTGGTAATAGGACCAGACAAGCGCAGCCACGTGACCCGGCGGAAGAAAACCGCTCGGAACGAGCGCTTCCTGTCAAACTCATATGCTATAGTCTATCTAGGCTGTAGTGGGGTAGACACTATAGGGTACAACACGTCTAGGTTTCCTACTTGTACGCACTTCTTCCTTAGTCATTCATTCCTCTTTCTTCACATGGTATAGAGCGGGTTCCCTAGTGGGACCGTTTCTTCCTAAGGGCCCACCATTTTTTTTTTTTTTTCCTAACCTGCCCGAAGCGCGCTTCGCGCTCTGACCTGCCCTATCCTTTCGCGGCCCCTTAGCGGCCTGCCCTGCTCCTGAGGCCCGTCGCGGCCCCCCTTTGCGGCCCCTTCGCGGCCCCTTCGCGGCCCCTTAGTGGCCCCTTCGCGGCCCCTTAGCGGCCCCCCTTCGCGGCCCCTTAGCGGCCCCTTTGCGGCCCCTTAGCGACCCCTTCGCGGCCCCTTCGCGGCCCCTTAGCGGCCCCTTCGCGGCCCCTTCGCGGCCCCTTCGCGGCCCCTTAGCGGCCCCTTAGCGGCCCCTTCGCGGCCCCTTCGTGGCCCCTTCGCGGCCCCTTAGCGGCCCCTTCGCGACCCCTTCGCTGCCCCGCCCCGCTGCCCGTAGCGGCCCCGCCCCGTCGCCAGTCGCGGCCCCGCCCCGTCGCCACCCGGGTGTCGCCCTTGCCTCGTCGCGACGCCTCAGCGGGACCCGCGCGTCGCCCCCGCCTCGTCGCGACGCCCCTGCGGGACCCGCGAGGCGCGGCTCCTGCGCGTCACGACGCCCCAACGGGACCCGGGCGTCGCCCCCGCTTGTCGCGATGCCCCTGCGGGACCCGCGCGGCGTCGCCCCTGCCCGCCGCGGCGCCCTGCCCTAACCCGCGCCCGTCCTTCGAACGGCCGCCCCTGCCCCCCCCTTGCAGAAGC